TGGCTAACCGAGTCTAGTACAGAGCAACAAAACTCTGACATCACAGCTGGACAGACTGGTAAACAGAGCTGCAAGGCTCATCACAGGCCACAAACTCCAAGATCATGTCCCCGTTAACATCTTGCGAGCAGAGGCAGGGATAGACCCTGTGCGTAAACGGGCAGAAGTAGCTTCTCTTGTCTCTGTCTTTAAGGCAGTCCGTGGATGTGCGCCTGTGTACATGACATCGTTGTTCAAATGGGAAGCTCCACCAACACTGAGTGTACGCACTACTCGGTCAGAGTTAAAACGGCTACGGGACTATGACCCCCACCTACTCTCCTGTCCACCAGCAAGAGTCACTTCATACAGGAACAGCTTACAGTACTATGGACCTTACCTCTGGAACTCACTCCCCCTACAACAACGACAGCAGCTCAGTCTCAGAACTTTTAAACAGTTTTTATCGAATTGTATTTAAGATTAGTTATTTGAATATGTGCTATTTTTAGACTTTGTATGTATTGTGAATCTGTTTAACTGTTAGGTATTTGTCTGTGCTTTTGTACCAGGATTTCCTGAAAAACAGGCCAGAGTGGCCTGAGTGTGATTCCTGGTTAAACAAATAAAGTTGAAAGTTGAAAGTTGACACACAAGGGCACTATCACACTCATCTCAGGTCTCTTGACTTCAGTAATTCAAGGCTTGCGGCTCGCCCACGGCTATAATCACGAGCGTGTTCTACATCGTAAACTGGGAAGTCAGTTCCAGAGTTTTACAAGACCGTACCAGTCCGGTTTTGCAAATAAAACTGAACGAAACAGTCTATACCGATGGCATTCTACCCCGGTTATGTGCGCAGACTTCTTGGTAAGTTCCATTTTTAGGCCGCAGCAAGTAGTTCTTATGGATGACATCAGCACGCACATTTCGCCTGATTTTGAAAAAAAAACCCAAGAAATTCCGTTGCCCTCTGACAGTAGTCAATATGCCGAAAATGGATAAAAATGTCTGTTGCCATTCTGGAACGTAGATGGCAGATAAATATTAAGAGGGGAGACAAGACAGGCCTGGAGCTTATAAGTGTTGTCTGCATGTCCTTTGGGCTGGGAGCGCCAAGTAACAAGTCCCCAAGAGTTCTACCCGTTGCTCCCTCCCTGTTGAGGGTAGGATTGTTATCGCTGCACACCCATCTGAAGTCGAAGGTTAAGTCCCTGTAGACCGGGGCATGTCTGTTTAAAACCTTAATCAACAGGCAAATCCGCACTGCCGCCAGCCGTAAGTCAGACAAAATCATGTACTGGAAGGGCACTTTCTTGCTGATTGCCAAGAGAAACACCTCATAAATTTCTTCTTTTCTTTTTCGCATAGAATGAAACTATTTAGACAACATACGCATCGTTTTTGTTTTATCAGAAAACCAATTTCTTTTGGTTCCACGCAGTTTTAATAACAGCGCAACAGCTACATGGCCCAATTGAATTGGCAAGAGAGACACCTCATAAATTTCTTTTCTTTTTCGCATAGAATGAAACGATTTAAATAGCACGTCGTGTTGACTTTTTTTATCAGAAAACCAAATTCTTTTGGTTCCACACAGTTTTAATAACAGCGCAACAGCTACATGGCCCAATTGAATTGCTGATTGGCAAGAGAGACACCTCATAAATTTCTTCTCTTTTTCGCATAGAATCAAAATATTTAAACAACACATCGTGTTTCACTTGGTTTTATCAGAAAACACAGTTCCACACAGTTTAAATAGAAAAGTCTATTGCAAATTCGTGCCCGGAGGCTAATTGCAAATTACAAAACATAAAAGAACAATGAAACAGAGTATAATATAACTAAAGGCTACATGATGAAGGTAGCTGTCTAGAACTATAACTATGCCTAACACTATGTCTGAAGGGTTTGACTTCTCTTCTTTTTAATAACAGCGCAACAGCTACATGGCCCAATTGAATTCTAACTTTCTATTGATGAGCTGTATTCCTCTGAGATCCGTCGCCGGATCAGCCTGTCATCATTGAGCGATGCTCAGCCAACTAACGACTTGGCACCTTTTATATGATCCCTTTATAATTAACGGAAAATGAGTTATCGTTCCCCAGGGTCATCAACGCTACAGACAGGAGCGGGTTTCCAACGGTTTTGTAAACGATCCAAATTCTTCAAATCTGTCTGTGTGCGGATGGGAACAGCAGTGGGCAAGTGTGTGTAGTGTGTGAGCTATCGCTTGTGGGAACTACGGCCGTGGAGGGTACGAACCTTCTCCGGGCGGCTGGTTGTAGGATGGTAGGCAAGAGAACGCGTTCAAAATTCTTGCCTGCACAGGAGGCTAGCAAAACCTGAAAATTGTCGCCATCTTTTCTAGACACCTTAAGCATTGCAACGTTTTTGGTACAAGTTTTGGTGACATATCTAGATGTAAACGTTTATGCTCTGTAGCTGTCTGTAAGCTAATTGCATACCAAAACCATCGGCCTTTACCCATATAACACAGCACATCCATTCAGTTCCTACCAACATTCGGGAATGACAAGAGATAAAATGAAATGACCGAACGGAGCACAGCACAGGTGTGACTATTGCCGGAGCAAGCTATGACACATACGTATCTGTATCTGTATACTAGTAACCGCCCTTCGGCGTAACACACCAGTTTATGTTATATATAACGTTAGTTATGTACGTGCCCACTTATGTACGTGCCCACTTGATGTACGTTTGCTACACTAACATACGTTACAAGAGCTCAAACGTACACACGCAGCTGTCTAGATACGTTCTACCGGCTTACCCTAGCCTCCACCAGGCCTTTCTACGGGAATACGGATCGTAGAATTCGGCAAAAAAGAGAGTAAAATTGGCCAAGGGAGTCAGGCGGCGGGGAGGTAGTTTCTTTCCCTCCGAAGCGGCCAGTCAAACCTACAAGGCGGCCAAACTCCCCTGGCAAATTCCCCTAAATATATAACCAGCGTAGTTAGTCTGGTAGAGACTAGGCTTACCCTGTTTGGAGAGGACGCTCCTGTGCTTGCCCAGGGCCACTAGGAACAGAACCAGGCCACGAACCAGATGAAGGCCCCTCATGGTCTCCTGTTAGCAGACACCGCTATCCACGTCGTCGTTCTTCACACACGTACAACTCTTCCATTATGGAAATACTCTGCCCACAGTTAGATGTTAAAGGGATAGGTGTAACAAGTCGATCGATACGCGGTGTAATGTAGCCAGCTGCCGCCGCGCCGCGTGCCTGCGAAGCTGATGTGTTACACCGAAGGGCGGTTATACCGGCTCTACAGATACAGATACAGTCTTCCTCAGTCCGGCGGTATGTTTAGTGGCCTGTAGGCTGTCTTGTGGCACACAGATCTCAGCAAGAAACAGTCTTCTCCCCGTTCAAGCTTACATAAGCAAACATTCACGTCCAGCTCACCACATTGGAAAAAATGACTCCAAAAATGTTAAAAACGGGTTTCCTCTTAAAAAAGAGTGGTAGGTTAGAAGAAGCTCGCTGGCAGGTTTAAAGTGGACGTCACTGACGCTACAAAGACGGGAAAAATCGTCGCTGCAGTATCACCGCTTCTCACCGGGCGTTTGAAAACACAACCGCAACTTGTAGTCGGGAATGTCTTAACAAGTGGCTGCTTGTGGATGATGTGATGGCCTTGTCGTCTCCTGTGTACCAGCTCAATTGTCTAGAAGATCCATTTGAAGGTTCAAGGGCTCGTAAATTCGTTTAAAGCCTCCGTTTGCGTAGTCAAAGCTCGGCTTGCAAACGTCATACAGCATGTCTTGGCCCGGAAGCTCGGTAGACAGCTTATCCGTAGACTGTTTGTAACACTTCTACAGTACTTCACTCAGGGTCTTCAGCGAACTTGCCACGATCATTCATGTTTTCACACATCGGCTGTTGTTTCTTATTCGATAGGCCTTTCTCTCCCACGCTCGAAGCTTAACCAGTCGCACCACCTCGTCCTGTCTGTTGTTCAGGGCTCAAATCTCCGACTTTGCTCCATGGAGGGGCGATGAGTGTGCCAACGTCATTCATAATCAATGAAGCCTCAGATGACTACGTTTAAATGGGGGCGCTTCTCGCTGCGCAAAGGGAGGCCTATCGTACTCATCAGCGCTTGTATACAATGACTCGCACTGGAAAGTACAAAAAAAGGCAATACGGATCAATGCTCCTTTACAAGTACTTTGGATGTTGTAGCAGCGATCTCGGCCGGTCGACGTTCTGTGGATTTAACCGCCGCTGGCTATGGGCAGTGGAGAGATATGATGAATACAGATTACCATATGTATCAGCTATGCCCTTCGGGACCTGACTTGGTCCGTTTTTCACCTGCTCTGAGGAGGATCAATTTCAAACCTTGTTAGTCTGGTCCTTGGCTTGCTGGTTTGTTTCTGAGTTGATTGTTACGATGGTTGCTTGATTTGTTAGATTGATTCGACTGGACGGCCTGTTTGGAAAATATAAGATTCAAACATATGACTTTAACCTTCATATTGTTGTCAAAGGGATGGAGAAAAATAGCACGGACTTGATCCATTGTTTTATTTATCTCGAATTTTATATAAGCATAGCGGTCCCTGCGTGCCTGCAAAGCCGGAGTGTTGCACCTTGGGTGATTAGGAAGGCTTATAAGCACAGATCAGTCCGACTTCAGCAGTGATACATGGTGTTTCATCTTCCTTACAAACACACCTGTGTTATAGAAGTAATCTCTACCGATTACTCTGAAAGATAGGCAGCTTAGTACGTTATAACGAGAATAATACGATTCTTAATGCAAGTTCATTCTAGGAGGGATGCAAACACTATAAATTAATCTATTTTCGCCTGGATACAATTTCAAATGTACAGTGCAGTTCTGAAGAGGGGGGGTGGACAAAAACACAACTAACTAGAAAGACAATTTCATCAGTGACCTTCACAAGATAAAGACGCAAATTTCGGTCTTAATTCTCATTGACTGTTTATGACCGCTGTACCCACTAATGGCGCTTCATGCCCAGCTATTTTCTAACCCCTGATCTGCCCATCCATTGCGTGTAATCCCCAATTAATATTACTGTCCTTCAGACTTCAAAAATCAATACACACCCCATCAGTCTGTAATTGGTATTGGCTTGCAGTTCTTACAAGATTTGACAGGTGGGGCTCTTTTCTTCAGCTAAATTCGCCAGACGCCCGTAGTGTTTGATGTATGTAACTGTAGTGTCCCTCTGTGACTACAAAATGCACTGCATGACTCTCGTAACGTTGTTCTATCTTTGATAGGCACAGAAGACTTTTTCAAGTCTAAGGTCAACAAACATATGTCCTGTACAGTGCACAGTAACTCAAAACATTTGAGTGGCTCCCATGCGCCTTGTTTTGCGGTGAACATGAAGTAAGGCCATGTTGATTTGATTATATGGATGACATCCTCTGGGAACCCCAAAACTGATGCGCGCGTGCGAATAAAAAAAAAGTTTTGCAAAAAAAAAAGTTGCTTTCACTATGAAATCTACGTGGTTCTGAAGGTTGAACAAATGGCACAGAATATGTTATGGCGAATAATCTACTCTTCGAATTCATTTCTTTACATTTTTGTCTTTTTTCCTTTGATTTTGGCATTCTACGACATTGGTATCGTTTCTAAATGTTTTACCTTGCAACTTATGGTATATTTTTGCTCATTTAGCAACTGTTTTGCACGATTTACAGTATGGTTGAAAACTTTTTTTTTTTGGAAACGGCCGAAAATTCATGCGCGCGCGGATGTCATCCATATAATCAAATCAACAAAAAAAAAAAAAAGAGAGAGAAAGGTGAGGGGATCGATGATACGACTTCAATAGGTACAATATCAATATTAATACTCTGCAGTACGGAGCCAACTGATAGGTGGGGTTTCAACACGGCTGAGACAGAACCTCCATTGGGCCGTCTATCGCAGGCTACCTATTTAGGTATACGTAAATGGCCCAGAGACGAGTACATCGTTGGCCTATGCCCTGGCAGGGGCAAAGGGCCTAAGTAAGTAAGTAGCAAATGTCGTTCAGCACCAATGACAGTGCTGCTTATTTACGCACAGATGGTGCTCGGCGCTTAGCACAGTCTAGCCTATAGGTTTAGTGTACCTACGGGTGGATGGCGTTCAGCACCAAGGACAGCATTGTTTTAGTGAGACTGGCGTTTAGCATTAAGAACAGTGTGTGGATGGCGTTCAGCACCAAGGACAGTATCATTTCATTGAGGCTGGAGTTCAGCACTCAAAACAAAACCGCAGTGCCGTTTTGTAAGCGTGGATGGCGTTCAGCACTAAGGACAGTACCTTTCATTCACTTGAGGATGACGATCTGTATTAAGAATATAAGCGCAGTGTTGTTCATAAAGCGTGGATGACGCCAATGATAGTGTGGGTAGACTGTGGTAAGGATAATGTCATTTATGTACACGTAGATGTCGTTCAGCACCAAGAACAGAGCCGCTTATTTGCGCTCAGATAGTTTCTCGGCGTGCTTTTGACGCAGAGCGCTTCCCCGTGAAAACACCTTTTACGTTTACTCGCGTGGTAAAAAAGGCTTGGTGTTTCCTTCTAAATTTTGGCATGCTAAAGACCAACAAAGCTGGTCCTATACTGTTGTTGTTGTTAATCATCCTTGTCAGAGGTAAAGCATGATATCATGCCTTTTCTGTTAGCTATGGTGGTCCTATAAACCCCATATATACATGTATCCTGTAGCCTCCAGTAGCAACGAAATCAATCTCGTTGATGTTACGGTTAGTAGCTGTGTAGATAAAATATAGAAAAACAAACCCGTACAGTTCCAATTACATAACAGGGATTGAATTGAAACTTCGGTATTTCCAATTTTTAATCCAATTACGCAAGTCTAGTTATAATGAAAGGGCAGACAGAAGCAGATGTCAATCTGTGTCATTTCAGCACAAATCGCCCGCTTTGAAGTAAATTATCCTTCGATCCTTCTCGTTCCGTAATTCCTTATGTATGCAAGTCATTACACGTTCCACACACATGGTTGCTCGTTTCATAGTAATTCGTTCCCAAAATCGATGATGTTAGTCCCGCCAAGCAATTTCACGGGAGAGATGTTCCACCCATATGGTTACTGTGACGCGCGTCCGACGTCATAATTATTCTAGAGCATAGCGACCGCGGGTGCAGTGTCACTGTGTTCTCAGTACGGCTTGCGTACGGACGTAATCTGCGACTGGGAAATTTCTTGTGTTTCAAAACTGTCTTGTGACAAAGAAAACACTCACAAAACATGACGAAATCTGCCAAGAAGACGTCGACGTCCTCGTGGGCCAGTTCTCGCAAGGAGATGCCTAAAAAGATGTGTAAGAAGCTTATCGGTGCAGACCCGAATCTCGGCTGGAGGTTATTGGGGGATCTGGTGATGAAAAAGCTGCTGGGTTCGGACATAGTCCCCGTGTCATGTCCAGAAGACGCTGCGTGTTTCGACCTCGGCACGGTCCTGGTGAAAGATCACCAGTCTCTGACGGCCAGGGCAGCCCACCGCCACACGACTCTCCGCGCGATCGGCACCGTCCAGGACATGAGCGTGTCCGCGCCGGCGAACCTGCGGACCATCCTCGCACCCAAGGCCGACGAGAACTGGGAGGAGGCTCCGTCCTCCGGCTTTCCCTGGAGTCACACAATCGGTAACGAGCACGACGGCGAGAGGAAGAGGTTCTACGTCAAGGTGGGAAGCGGTGGGAAGTTCATAATCTCCAAGCAGATCTTTCGGTGGCAAGACAATATCCATTGGCCAGAGGAGTGTCCATTAGCCACCGCCATCGGTTGGGAAATGGATACAGGACGGCCAATGGATACAGGATGGCCAACGGATACGGTCTTTTGCCACCCAACCGAAATATCTGCTTGGAGATTAGGAAGTTCACCAACTTGTCTTGTTTGTATTTATCTTGGTTTTATCCACCTTGTACCTATGCATGTATCTTGTCAATGTGTTGTATACTCGTTGTATGTTTTTGAGTATAAGCAACTTTTGCTTTTTGCCCAATACTCAATAAATTTATGTGAATAAATAAAAAACAGGTGGGAAGCGTCGCCAAGGAGGTGGTCCATCTGACTCTCAAGAAGGGGGACCTGAGACTTCGAAACGACACGGACGACTTGAGGAAAGCCAAGGCTGTGTATATCGTCACGGAGGCCTTCTACGCCAGCGGTCTGAAAGTAGAGGTGACCGTGGACGGTCGGCAGGGCACGTTCGTCACGGAAGACAAGATCCTGATAGGATTCCGCTATCAGAAGTTCAAACTGTCCAAGACCGGCGTGGTCGGACCGGAACTGTCCACAAATATCAAGAGAAATAGGTAAGCCACAAGTCATCGTGTCTGTCTTTAAAGAATCAAAACAATGGGGGTATAAGTATAACACACATGTACATACTCTTCTTTTGCCAGCGATAACTTCATTCGCACTGTGTCATTCTTGATTGACGTATATGACTGATGTTTTTAGAAAATATGATACTGAATGTAGCAATTGAGTTTTTTTATCAACGTTCGCAGTACCTTATAGTGGTGTTTGTAAAATGATTCAAGGAATGCATTACACTGTAGAGGAACAGCGGCCTAGCGACTGGACGTTCTAGAACACCAATACAGCCTCTGTGATATGATTAATTTCTGCCGCGTTCCACAAAGAAAACATAAAAGGCTAATCGCTAATTTTTTCCATTCATTCTGCATCTTTTTTATTAAAGGGAAGCCCACCTTTTTGTGAAGACAAGCTACGCGGAAAGAGTAAGAAAGTCGGTGACTACTGCTGAGCTGAGAAAGCCCTCTAACGCCTCCGTGGCTCTGATCCCCAAAGCGTCTCTACCAGGTGAGATTTTACGTTAAGTTGTCGGGGACTGTTGACATTTGTACCAGTAGAGGGCGTTGTACATTGTACAATTGTTGTGCAAGAAATGAACATGTTTGTCGGAATGTAATGTGGTACGACCATTTTACAACGTACATAGAAGGTGGTGTACATGCGTATGAATAGATAGCACCTTCATGACAAACAGTGTTCGGGGAGAGCCACACTCCACTAACGTTAAAGAACCCACTGTACTTATCGAAAAGAGTAGGGGACCTTCCCGGTGTGAGTGGTTCAAACCTTACAGTCCGGTCTTACGCAGCTTGTACTTACTGTACAGAACTGGTGTGTTTACGCATGAAAAGGCAGTTAACCGGTTATGCAAAACAACAAACAAACAAACAAACAAACAAATTTGTCATGATCTAGGCATGACAGACGATACAGCCGACCCGAGGTCTATCCCGGTTACAAAGGACGAGTCTAATGAGTCCCGGTCAAGCGCAGTGAGTGATGACGTCACCGAGAAGGACGACAGATGTCAGGTTGTGGACTTGGATCATCACCAAGGCGACGAGGGGTCAAAAGGTCAGATACAGACGGCGTGGATTTTGTGACACACAAGATTGGTAGAAATTAAACCTTAAGGTTTCTGCACTGGCTAATTTGGTGATTTAAATTTGCACTGTTTTACTGGTAAAGGAGAGAACTGGGTTTGTACTGAATATTGGTAGCTAGCAACATAAGGTCCCCCCCCCAAAAAAAAAAATTGGTACCACATAACACGTCTAAGTAAGGAAAAGAAACGTAACGTAACCAAAGGCTTGCACATTCATGAGACAATCTCTCAATACTTCTCCAAGCAGAGGTTTGGGTTTTGCCTTACTTTGGGTGCGTTTTAGGTTTTTTTTTATCGGGCTTTCTTTTTTGCACTGGTATCCTTTTTTACGCGGTACCCGTGTACGCCAAGAATAAGCCAAAACACAAACCTCTGCTAAGAGAGTACCAATACTTGACAAATGGTACATTGCATTTTCAGATTATTTAGATAGTTTAAACATAGGGAGTTTAGGATTCATGCTATGTGATATAAATAATTTAAACAGTTATGTTTCTGTTTTAATACAGGACAGACAGAGAGCCAGAAGGCGGACAGCCAGTCAGTGGACTCAGCGCAGTGTGTTGTCGGCTGAGACCAATAGAACATGACTGATTTTGCTTATCAAATAAGCTTTATAGTTGAATTATGAGTAAAGAAAAATATTGCGGATAATCGCAATATTAAAGCAATTCCTTAAGTTGTTTTGTAAGTAATGAAATGTCCGTACAATAAAGGGACGTCAAACCTTTTCGGGAATGACACCTTTTGGGACGATTGTATATATCAGACTGAAAATTTAAAAAAAAGAAGCACAATAAAAATGTTCGAAAAAGTTTCATCTTCTTGGCTCTAAGAACTATGTTTGGATTGTTGACTGTATTATAACAGCAGTTGTATATACTACATTTTTTTTCTCTGCTGAGAATCTATCCTGAAAAGTAGACATCTTGCGACACGTTGTAAAAAAAATGTTCGCATCGGTTTTGAGATATGCCAGTTTCCAATTACAAATTAAGATTGGTTTTGAGATATGTTTCCAAATAAAGGTTACAGTTGTATGCAACATGTTGCTTTTGTGGAGTCAGTAATTTCGAATTAGTTCAAGTGAGACCCTAGATCAAACCATGATTTAGATAATAGAAAGCACGATTAGATCATGAGAAGGTTTTCCGTAAATTTTAACAACGTTGCTATCAAGAACGACTATTACATTCTAAGCAAAACGTGTTGCCGGTGTCTCATAACGTTATGATATACTAACGTTACACTAGTCTGATTTGGGGTAGCGTAGTCCAGTTTCCACCCCCAGTATTTGAATGGTGTATTCCAATTTTCCACCCCCAGTAGTTCAATGGTGTATCCCAAATTTTCCACCCCCATATTTCAATGGGGTATATGGGGGTCCTGATGGTTCCATCCTAGTTTCCGTTGCTCATGAAATGGTGCGATTTGGCTAATGGCCGAGTATCTCTTCTGACACTGTATTTGGCAAATTTCGAATACTAGTAAATTCTTTCAACAATCCAGAGTTTTGAGGATGAGTTTTGGTTTGGTTTTTCCAAGGAGGTTAACTTGTATTTAACCTCCTTGGTTTTTCCTTGCCCACGATCATGATAATTATCATTCTGGCATACTCATTAACACCTGGGCGAAGTGAGGAAAGTCATGTAAAGTGCCTTTCTCAAGGGCACAAGGTCGGTGACATGGCAGAATTCAAACCCGGGACCTCTTGGTTCTGAGCGAATGCTCAGTCGTTACGCCACACAATCCCTCCATCCCCGTTTCGCAATGGTCTGTCCCAATACACCTGCCTGTCCCGCACTGCGCATCCCCTCTGCGCAGGTGACCCCTCTCTCGTGCACAGCTGCAGCTGCTAACGTCAGGCAGACTTTCTGCTATCCCTGAGTCCTGTCAGTCCGTACCCTGTACTAACTTCTGTCTCAACATGTCGCTCACCAAGCTCAGCATCGACAAGGTGGACGTCAAGGGGAAGAGAGTCCTCATGAGGTAAGGTCGTCCCGTCTGTCTGAATCTACCGTACGTGTGCCCCCCTCCCCCTTTTAATACTAGCCCCGCCCATCTTACAACCGGTATACACCACTACTATGGGGGCCTCCAAGGGGGGGTCCCGACAACGCTCTACGCTAAATTTTGAGAGCCGGCTACGTATTACGCTGAATTCCGGACACCTCTCTACGCTCTACGCTAAATTCGAAAGATTCCGAACGCACTATGCAGAACTCAATCACCTAGCAACTGCATGTTTGCGTGAAAACCTTTTGATTTATCAGTAGAGGTAGAGGTGACATAACTTGAATTAAAAGTAGTAATGCTAACCGGCGGTCACTTCTTTATACATCGAAAGTATAGAATACAAAATGGGGTATTACCACAGGTACCAACTTGACCGCGAGTCGATCGCCCGAAGATCGGAGGGCGATCCGTGAATGGAGGTAACATGGCCGTAGCCAGGATTTTGAAGGGGGGGACCAACGAGCGCCGTAGGCGCAAGGTTCCTAGGGGGGTCCGGGGCATGCTCCCCCGGGAAATTTTGAAAAATGAACCTTCTGAAATGGCATTTCCTGCGTTTTTAGAGGGTTTCAAAGAAAAAATCAGAGATAACTTTTTCAATGACAAAGTGAGCAATTTTCCTACGACGGATTCCAGCCTTGCTGGTGACATGAATCAGTCCGTCTTTTTAAAGAAAAGTCTTGGACCTTTAGATAAAAAGTGGACCAAAAAGTGGACCTTTGAGCCTTGTGGGGTTGTCGTCCGAAGGTAGAAAAGGCCGCAAACAATACAGCGTAATTTGTCAAAACGACTCAGCTGCCGATTGCTGACGGTCCCGCGTTACCCATCACCCGCACAATGACGGGGATGACATTGCTCTTTTCGGGAGTGTCCTCCATTACCCTGGCCATTGATCAGCAATGATGTTCCCGCTAAGAAACGTCTTGAGGGCCCCTATTGGGCCTTGCAAGTCATGTAGTTCTAAGGCCTTCTACCCTCTTCATCTGTGGCCATCTGTGGCGTTTGGCCAATGGTCCTCCTGTATGTCACCGATGGTAAGGTCAATCTCGTACCCAGCACACTGTGGGATCATTCCCATGTGTTGCCTTGTTCTTGTGTATGGCTCTGGGAACAAGTCTAGTGGATTGTTCGATTGTATAGAAGGGGGTAGAGCAAGAAAGACCCCGAGTGCCACGACAACCCGGCACTTGCAAGGCCTCGAGTTCCTGTTTGCGGCTTGGATTACGCTCTACGCACAATTAATCGATTACGCTTTACGGTTAATTCCCGATAGCTACAACGCATTACGTAGAATTAAAACAGCGAATTACGCTCTTCGCCAAATGCGCCAATTACGCTCTACGTTGAATTAGAGGGTCCGTCTACGCTCTACGTAGAATTAAAACGGCCGATTACGCTCTACGGAAAAGGGCTTGGGGGCCCCCTACTATAGCTAACTCAGACATTCCTGTTGTTAATTTGCACAAATCAAACTGAGGATATTGTGACGTTGGGGTTCAGAATATGCATGACATGTCTGCCATAATTTTGGATTAAATAGCTTCTTTTTACACTTCACACGTTACAAGTACTATAAAGGGGTCACTGACCTATGGATTAGCCATGCTTGCACGTACACCACGTATATACCGGTTACAAGTACATGTATACTCGTATATATTAGGAAATGGGATAGCAATAGATTTGTCAATAGATATGGTTACTTACTTCAACTCAATGGTATGATAATAAAGTATTTTATTGCTTATCAGCCTGTGTGTTGGTCTGTCTGTGTTTCTGTCTGTATTGCTGTAAATGAGGGCCTGCATGGGGGAGTAGTGATTACAAAGTAAGAGATCGTAAAATTAATAGGATTTGGGAGAGTCCACTAGACAAACCTTCAGGTTTCTTGGGCTCTCCAGCATATCTTTGCTTGTATATAATTTCTTTTGATACTGTTACTTTTTTATGTGCAAATTGACAATAAACAAATAATAAACAAACAAAGTACGCAAAATTTTCGCCGCCAATTACAAATTACGTAAAGTATCAGAGCTAGCTTTGCGACTAATGTACTATTATGAATTATGTTGATTTTCGGGGAGGCTACCTACGGATTACGAAGACTAAAAAGGCCTGATTACGCCTTACAAAAATGGGCATTCAGGCCCCCCTAAATGTCTCTCTTAAGTGGTGAAATTTCTATCTTTCCATTCCAGGGTGGACTTCAATGTTCCAATGAAGGGAAAGGAAATCACCAACACCCAGAGGTAAGGCCACATTTTAACATGCAACAGGCAAGACAATCGCATAAATGTGCAGTGTAACTTAAATAATAAGGCCAAGCTTTAAAAAATTATTTGACAGACCCTAGCAAATCCTTTTTGCCCTAACATTTTTTGTGTGTGAGAGGATGTAAGTTGGGGGGGGGGGGGGTCTGGGGTGTATGTAGATGCATAGCTGTAGAAAAAAAAAACCCCTATGTACGGACCTTGTTTTTTAGAGGACATGTACATTAATAATAATAACATTAATTTTGCTCACCCTAATGATATTTTTGCCCGAATGCGGTAATGGTAAGAGTTGTGTACTAGTAAATGTATCAGCTTTGGTTATTTTGTTGTCAGCAGTAAGAATATTTGATTCGATTAATAAAACATTCCCCTTTTTTCCTATGTCAGAATCGTGGCTGCTATCCCCAGTATTAAGTACGCCCTTGACCAAGGAGCGAAGTCCGTCATCCTGATGAGTCACCTGGGCCGACCTGACGGCAGACGACAGGACAAGTTCTCCCTCGCTCCTGTCGCTGATGAACTCAAGAAACTCCTGGGGAGGTTAGTCAGACATACACATCGCCATAAAAATTTATAATCTGTAAGAATTAGGAGAGCAGAAACAGAAAGGCACTCCTCGTCCCGGGCCGGGGATCGAACCCACGCCAAACCCAGGCACCAGTTGACATCCCGACGCTCTAAAACATTTGGCTAAAAGGTCGTACTAGTGTAGACCTGCACAAGTCTCGACCTAGTCTTGTGTTCTCGCAAGACTAGGTCACTCCATGATCAAGATGTACAGTAGACATTGATAATTTGGAGACCTGTACATGTTTTTACCTTTATAAAAATGTCACTGATTGAGGAATATTCTACTTACAAAGCCCCTGTTGTTTTCAGGGACGTGACGTTCCTGACTGACTGTGTAGGAGGGGAGGTGGAGGCAGCCTGTGCAGACCCTGCACCTGGGTCAGTCTTCCTACTGGAGAACCTGCGCTTCCATATCGAAGAGGAGGGGAAAGGTGTAGATGAAGGAGGAAACAAGGTAATTTATTATGTTTACCGGAAAACATATTGTTTTTGCTCAGTTTCCTCTTCCTCTTCTTCTCCAAACCAATTCTGCTGGCCCTGGCCAATGACCTGATTTGTTGATGTCTGTCACCATGGTAACTGGTGTTGGGTTACATCATGTTGCAATTTTATAGTAGAAATGGTTTAGACTCCTGTCTCACCATATATATGAATGTATTAAAGTAAGAATCAACAGAGCAGACCATATGCGAAGGTAAACATTTGCTTTGCAAATGTTACCTTTCTAGTGTTTTATTTATTTATATTTGACACCAAAAAGCAAACATAACACTATTAACAGCAGGGATAAAACTACCTGAATTTCAGAAAGTTTGCGTACACAAATTACAACTGACAAAATAGGTGATATATACATCCCTCATATCAAGGAAGTTTAATATTGCTCATTTACGTTATAATAATACTACATTTTTATACCAAGCAAACCTTCTGACTTTTGTACAGATGAGGTTTAGGAAACATAGAACCTAGATGTAACTCTGCTGCACTTTTTGGAAACATCAGAAGGTGGCTCTTCTAGTACTTGGCTCTTGTAGTACATGACTTTATAATGATGTTCTCTGTACTACATTCCCCCAGGTAAAAGCAAAGCCAGATGACGTGACTGCCTTCCGGGCATCTCTGACCAACTTGGGTGATGTTTACGTCAACGATGCTTTTGGAACGGCTCACAGAGCCCACAGGTAGGGCCATTTTGTTTGTTTCACACAACAATTGGCAAACAGCCTTAATTCTTTAGGTGTAACAGACCAGTTTGGTGTTAAGAGTTCTCTGTACTGCTTTCTTATTCCGTATGATGACTGATGACTGATATTCTTGCCTTATGTAGTAGAGGTGATTCATTCCTCAAGTTAACAGACATCTTGCACACACAGTCGACCCTCAGTAAGACATCTGGAGCCGCATAGTTCCCCTTTAGAACAATTTTATTCAGCCTGTCATTTCACTTGTGTGGCTTCTTCAAGTGTACAGAGGCTAAATGACACAAGTTCACAAAGATCTGATAGGGGCGTCACTACCTGAAACCTGTGTATGACTGTCTCTTGTCACATGATTATCACATCAAGTCACGTGACAAGAGAACTCCAAGACGAGATCTGAATCGGGTTGATGAAGAGACAGAGTATGTCTCGAAAGCTCTCCAGCATAGCTGAACTTTTGTTGTGTGTTTATGTATGAATATTTTGTCAAAAGATCTGATATGTTTGCCTGTCCACAGTTCCATGGTTGGTGTGAACCATTCCCAGAGGGCTTCAGGCTTCCTACTGAAGAAAGAGCTGGACTACTTCAACAAGGCCCTGCAGAATCCCAACAGGCCATTCCTGGCTATTCTTGGAGGGTAAGGGTTGTTTGTTTGTTTTTCTTTTAATGCCCACAATCATGATAATTATCATTTTGGCATACTCAATAATACATGTCTAATGAGCGATTTGAGGAAAGTTGTGTAAAGTGCCTTTCCCAAGGGCACAAGGCTAGTGACATGGCAGGATTTGAACCTGGGACCTCTTGGTTTTGAGCAGAATGCTCTGCTGTTATGCCACACGACCCCACAAACAATAATGAATTAATAATAGTTAATTAGTTAATACATTACATACAAGGGAGGGAAGCTGACGCAAAAACAGATGTACACACAGCTAAAAACAATACTTGGGGATGGGAATTTCTGCAATATACACAATGCAATATTGGCATACATGCTCATTATATTTTATTGTCTGTGGGACAGGAAGGCTTGCAAAGCAGTGTGAGTAAGATGGTGAAGTGTTTTGCCAACTGAAGTGAAAATAGTAATTTCACATGTTCATGAGTGCATCATATATCACTAAACATTAAGTATTAATTACCAATGTAATATGATACGTTTGACATAGTTAGCATCATTTTCAGGTCATTTCCTGAAGGCAAGGCTATTTTTGGCCCAGTGTGCAGTACAGCCAGGTAAATGACTGACCACCATCACAACATATTATATGTGTTTCTATCGCTTCAAAAGACTTTTCATATTCTTGGTCTGTGTTACGCATGCAGCTGCTTTGAAGGATTAAAGTACTAGTATACAATCAACCAAGGAACTGTTATATTCTGGCTTCTAATAATAAATTCTATTAATATTGGATATGGACTTTTCAATATAAATGATTCAAGATAAATTTGTACAGTGTCAGTTGCTTTGCACAGTACAATTTCCAAAATTTCTCTGTCAGACAACTGACCAATAATGTGGTGGTGGTTGATCATGCTGGCTTTACTGCTACTGTTTCTACTCCAATGCCATAAGGCTTTGAGTTGTAATGAAGCTTTCCATGTACTGTAAGTTATGTCTGTCCTTTTGGTCATGATTGACTGCATCACAGGGCACAAAATCCTAGCTGCATTTGTGGGATTAGTGCAGGTAAAGTTGGATTGGTACTTGTACCTGTACCTAACCTGCACCAGCTCTGTGTTGGTTGTTACCACCTGTGAAATGCAACATAAAGAATTGAAACTGTTTCTTGACCTCCTCCCTGCTACCTAACCCTGTACTAGTACTCAATATAAATTTAGTGCCAAAAGGCTGCTACAATAGAGAGAAAGTTGATAGTTACCTGTATGATCTATTCTGTATAAAATATACATCAGAATATGATGCAGTTAAGACTTGTTTGGTGCAGGTAAATGTGAAAACTCTTCTAACATTATGCATATTTCATCATACCACACACACAGTGCTAAAATCAAGGACAAGATCCCACTGATCGAGAACATGCTGGATAAGGTCAACGACCTGATCATCGTGGGAGGCATGGCCTTTACCTTCCTCAAGGTTCTGAATGGCATGAAGGTAGAGTACACTATTACTAGTACTTTCCCTGGATTCAGTCTTAATCTTTACAGCCTATAGTGGGCAGGGCTTGAAATTCATTTTTGGGAATAGGTGCACCTAAAAACTTGGGTGCACTTAAAATATTTTTGGGTGCACCATACAAAACAAAACCTATATATTATATATAATAATTACAGATCTTACTGCTCCTCTTCTAAGATTGAATCTGAAATGGGAGCTAACTTTAAAATCTCATTTATCAAGATTTTATTATTTTCTGACACTTAGATGTCAAGAAAATACTGTATACTATCATACATTTGATATGTACAAAAATACCTACAAAATTTTTTGGATGCACAGGTCCAATTTTGGGTGCACTAAGGTGCACATGCACCCAGTATTTCGAGCCCTTCTAGTGGGTAGAGTACTAGCTTTGATTTCAAGAGGTACATTTGTAGGAGGTTCAAACTCCAGCCACATCATACCAAAGACTTGAAAAAAAAAGGCTTTCTCTGCTTAGAACTCCAAGTATTTATGGGAAAGGGTATGGAAGCTGAACATACAACAATATCAGTGAACTAGCTGTAGTCTAAAGAAACTCCACCAAAAACTGTATTAGTATATAGTCTTATCACTTCATACTACATAGTCTTGTAGTGTTATAATTTGCTAGGAAATAGGCAACATTATATTTATGTTCCATACTACATTCACATACTACATTTTGGTGAAGTAGTAGTGTATAAAGAGAATGTATTCTTTCCCAGATTGGGTCGTCACTCTTCGATGAGGAAGGAGCCAAGATTGTTGAACACTTGATGGAGAAGGCGAAAAAGAATGGGGTAGCGATCCACTTTCCTGTGGACTTTGTCACGGCTGATGCCTTCTCAGAGAATGCAGCTACAGGCACAGCCACTGTGGAGTCTGGTATTCCGGATGGGTGGATGGTAAGGGGGCTTAAATTGTCATCTTTACCGAAGGACAACATGATATAGTTGTTTTTGCTCTGTTTCCTCTTCTTCTTCTTCTTCAAACCAATAAGGTCAATGACCTGAACCTGACGTCCGTCACCATGGTAACTAGTGTTGGGTTACATCATGTTGCAATTTCATAGCAGGAGGGATTTAGACTCCTGTCTGACCAACTATATGCATATGTGTTCGAGAAAGAATTAACAGAGCTAACCATATGCGAAGGTAGACATTATGCATTTGCTTTGCAAATGTTACCTTTTTAGTAGTTTCAGTTTCAGTGAAATGAAATGAATAAACTGACACTGAAACTACAACCCTCTCAATTTACTAGTAATAATGCAAAATTGCAGATTGTAGGATTTTTCTTTATTGTAAATCTCTCTGCAAAATGCAGAATGCAGCTAGGTATTTCTAACACTGATCATGGATGGGCAGCAAAGACACCACTGTATTTTGGGGTGACAAAATAATAATTATAAGGGGTGATTTTTACTATGTGTATTTTCACAGGGACTTGACTGTGGCCCAGAAAGTGGGAGAAAGTTCAAGGAGGTGATCTCCAGGTCCAACACCATTGTTTGGAACGGGTACGAATTGTCATATTGCTATCGTCTTGCACCAATGCCAGTACTTGTTGAATTGTACATTACTGTAAATAGGTTTTCTTTTTTCTTTCAACTGTATTTACTAATAGATAGCATTTGGAAAGATAAAATCAGTTTATCGTATCCTATGGACCTCTCAATTTACATAAAAGTATTATCTTGGACAAGTAACGAAAATATTACATCAGTGAAGGTTAAACATCCAGGTATTAAGATATGCCAAAAAGCAATTACTCAAGCAACTTGATATTAAAAAATAATATCCAGTTGCTTGAGTAACTGTTTTATTACACATTTTCATGATGTAAGACATACATTTTTTTGTATCATCTTAAAGGTAACTTTTGCCCGTCATGTTTATCTATGTGGTATTTTTCCAGGCCGGTGGGTGTGTTTGAGTTTGAGAAGTTTGCTGCAGGGACCAGGGGAATGATGGACGATGTGGTGGCTGTCACACAGAAGGGTGCTGTCACTATCATCGGTACATGTCATATCAGTATATTACATGTTTGAAAATGTTATGTTAGAACATATCATTGTTATTTTAGTTAGGCCATGTTGATTTGATTATATGGATGACATCCTCTGGGAACCCCAAAATTGATGCGCGCGTGCGAATAAAAAAAAAGTTTTGCAAAAAAAAAAGTTGCTTTCACTATGAAATCTACGTGGTCATGAAGGTTGAACAAATGGCACAGAATATGTTATAGCGAATAATGTACTCTTCGAATTCATTTCTTTACATTTTTGTCTTTTTTCCTTTGTATTTTGGCATTCTACGACATTGGTATCGTTTCTAAATGTTTTCCTTGCAACATATGGTATATTTTTGCTCATTTAGCAACTGTTTTGCACGATTTACAGTATGGTTGAAAACTTTTTTTTTTTGGAAACGGCGGAAAATTCATGCGCGCGCGGATGTCATCCATATAATCAAATCAACATGGCCTTATTGTGAAATGAGATTTTGATTTCTTGACACCTTGTCTTTATTTTGTAACCCTAAAATTGCAATGATTGCGACTTTATGCAACAAATAGTGCTATTTAACATTACACTGTACCACAGTTCAAAACCACTGTATATACATCAGATTTTACCTAGCCTGTACTGGTCTTCACCAATACAACATGTACATTAACCATTGTCCTTGTCTGGACCTGTAGCAAAACCACTGCACTTCTGCCTGAAAATGTTCAGGTACACAGCCCTAACACCAAGAACTTTGAATTGAGCCAAGAACTAACCTCCAAGTCGATCTTTCGGTGGCTGCAAAAGACTGACAGTATCAAATTGGCCACCTGGGATCTTTGGTGGCTAATAGATGCTCCTCTGGCCACCGTATGATCTGCTTGGAGATTACCAAGAACATACTTTATTAAAGTATATTCTTCTTTCAGGTGGAGGTGACACAGCGACTAGCTGTGCCAAGTTTGGTACGGAGGACAAAGTCAGCCATGTCAGCACTGGGGGAGGGGCTAGTCTGGAGCTACTGGAAGGTTGGAAAAAAAATTGTTGTTCTCCTAGTGTTTTTTCGTGACGTCACTGTTTTGTTTGCCACCATGGATTAGATTTTAGGAAATGTTTGGTTTGGGTATTAGATTTTTAGTCACAGGACATATGTTTATGAGAGATTTTATTTTTGCTTTAGTTTGGTTGTTGTTATCTGGTGAAGCTGTATGTTCTTCTTTGGTCTTCTGTGGAAGCCAATAGATTCTAAAGCAAGCTGTGGTTGCCATAAAAACAGTGTGACAACTTCATGTAGTGTGTTACGCCGAAGGGCGGTTATACCGGCTATACCGATACAGATACAAAATATGTCCTCTTTTTTTTCTAGGGAAAACATTACCAGGAGTTGCAGCTCTCTCAGAGGCCTGAACTGAAGCACAGAGAAACACTGGCAAACTGTAGAGGGATATCTGAAAATAGTTACTGTAGAGAAAGTAGTTTCTATTGGTGCTGCATTTTCTACACTTGGGTTAAGTACATTAGCATTGCAAATTTGCAACTCATAGAGTTTTAGGCCAAATGGACCAGTAACTGAATGAACAACCCCTGAAAATGTTACTGTGTACAGAACTTTTTTGTGGTAGCCTGGGTACCATCCTACTTGTATACCGGGGCTCCCACACTCGCTTCCCTAAGAAGTACTTCTTAGGGAAGCGAGTATGGGAGCCCCGGTATACAAGTAGGATGGTACCCAGGCTATTTTTCTGGTACATCATGCATGTATGTCTACTGTGTTTCAAAGTCCTGTAACATAGCCAAAAGACTTTTTGGACCTATAACTGTGTGAGAATTTGTAGTCACGTAAAGTAATTGTGGTGATGCAAGTTACAATGTAAGAAAACATTGAAAAGGGATTGGAAGAAATCTATGAGATATCATATGATGATTGTTTCGATGCTAAATGTATCAATGCAAATGAAGGCTTAGCCATATATGTTCAGAGGACAGATTTTTGTGAAAGAAGACCTTGAAAGGATATTTATATAGCATAGCTATATGCATTACAGCTCTGAGAGAACAAGTGCATATTAAATTTGGTGGAATGCCTTAGTTGTTACACTGAAGCTTGCACAAGAAAATCTTTCCTTGTCCACGTGTATGAATACATTAAAATTGTTGTACAACAAGATCTAGAGTCACTGCAGCACTTTAAGTTAGTATCAAAGTTTATATGTGTTGGTACAAGTCATTATGAAATTCATTGCAGTGTTAGTAGTTTTAAAGTTTAGTCTTTATTTCATAATCACTTAATAAGTTGTTAAGTATGTGTGAAACACCAGAGACCTAGTAGGTTAGTACACGTATGTGGCATTAATGTCAGTAATAGTCTCTGAAGTGCTATCTGGCATGTTACATCAATATATGACAATTCAAGTTTTCTTGCTTTGATGTACAGGCTTGGTAAAAATCTCCTATCCTTGGATATGATATATGATATATGATATATGATATGATATATGCCAAGATAATTTGCACGAGGAATTAGCGGTCCAAAGAGAAACATGTTGCCAACCCAATTGCAGTGTTTTACTAGCATTCCCCGGTAGCCAAAGGAGTCTGGAACAGATTACCCGTTCTAAACCCGCTGCTAATGCATCTTTAGATGCCACACGAGCAAAAGCGTTGCTTAGCTGTGTCCCAGATAAGGGACTCCAGTGTTGTGTAAGTTGTTTGTTTGAGTGCGGATGATGTGGTGCCAACGCGCCAAGTCGGTCAGCGCAGGGACACAAGAGATTTGGTCTTCCGGTACAAAGTCGAAGCTCGTGCGGACGCGTACCTCTAGATCTCTCACTCTCTCTCTGACTGCTATATGTGTAGGGCATCATCCTATAGCTCAACTTCAACTTACTACTGATCTTCAGAGCCACGTAACAGGTAGGTGCTGCGTTACATTAACAGTCATTCACGAGTTTTGCTAGAACGAAATGAGTCCGTACTTAGTGAGGCAAAGGATACAAAAGCAACCCGGGTGTCATTTCATTATCAGTGCCCATCTGGCGAAAGTTGGTTCAAGTCGGATGTATGGAGGGTGTCGATAAGGGCTCAACAGGCAAAACAGGAGCAGTAAGAGGTATATTAAATTCACATTTTTAATGAACTTAGACAAACCCTCGATCCTTAAACTTGTATGTTCTTATCTTTTCAACATCACAGAGAAGCGAAGAGAAGTCGAAATTATGTAACAGACTGTAGTGCTAGTACTAGATTGATCTTGTTGTGTAAATTTTGTGTATTCAAGTTAACCTTTGTATCTAACCCAGTGGGTATGTTTGTATAATAAAGGTCTTCATTCATTCATTCATTCATTCTAATGTCTTAGCAACCTGCACTTGACCTGCTATGGCTCTGATGAAACCAACCAAAGACACCAAATGGTCCGTGAGATGAACAAAGTTTTAAATGTTACCTGCTTGTTTGAAAACTATATTTTGAAACTTGGTTATTTTTGTTACCTCTCAGTTTCTGTTGGAGTATACAGATCTATACACTCTGAATCCGGGTCCCTATAGTTTGTATGTTCATTGCTCCAGTAACTGCTGAGTCATTGTTGAGTCATTCATGCTGGCAACAACATACCTATTTCAATCCACGGGGATTCAAACTTCAACTTGATTCATTGAGTTAGAGCTCGGGTTAGTCCTTGGGTTTGATCCAGATAGCCTGGGTGCCATCCCCTACCGCGAGTGAGCGATAATCCCTCGGCCAGGGAAGCCACACGCCCCGCCGACCCTGTTTGCGCACTCTCCTCGCTGGCGTGAAAGATATTGGGTTTGGGGCAGCCTGGGGTTGGGCGGCGGATACAGTAGCGGGCATTAGGGCTTCTTTCACTCACTCACTCTCACTCTCTCCCATAGCTGGCCATAGCTTAGTCAGCCGTCGGGGCAGCATGTTTGGCCAAGTTCTTCCACTGCTGGCGGTCCTCCGCCAGTCTGGCCATCTGGTTGGCTGTTTTCTGGCTTCTTTCCACACAAAAATCTATCGCTTTATGAACGCCAGCGTCTGGCACCCAGGCTAGATCCAGAACATACTGCTCAGATATCCCGGCGCGTGTCAGCCTCAGTCTGTGGGAAAATAACGACCACATGTCTAGTCCTAGCCGACCTACTTAAGTCTTGTCCCAGTTATGTTAGCCCAGATGTCCGAACGGTTAATTCTAGTAGATACATGTTGTATCTCTCATTCCGGATAGAAAAACCGGAGTATCATAGCTTTATGTGTAGGTTGAATTTTAATGAATATGAATTGGAATTCTACCAATTGAAATTGGCGAAAATGAAGGTCTTAAGGGCCGTTAAGGGGTTCATGTTTAGAAAAGACTGAGAAGTTGCCAGGTTGCTGATGTTTTCCAGATGGCGCTCTTCGGTCTTGTTTCATGGTGGTTTCTAACATATCTCAGGGGAGATTACCTGTTGACCGACAGGTCGTTTTGTAACACGGTTGCATAAGCTAGTCTCCATCTGCAGGCTTCTTGGGATGAAGAAAACGTCGTAGATGTTACCAGAACAAGGAAAAGAATTTACTTGCAGGGGAATTAGCCGGTTAAACTTGTAACACTATGGTAAGCTAATTCGTCTTGAAAACTATTCCCCCTGTTTGGCTAGTCTTTACTTTATTTTACTCCCAAAGAGTCTGAAGGAGACTATCAAAATCCACTTTCGTAACGGCTTGTCGTGAAGCTAGACTAGGAGATTATCCTTGCAAACTAGTACTACTTACATGTAACTGCTTTGGACACATGATGCCATTTGATCTTTGATATATATTTTTCTAAGACTAAAAGTTACTAAGATACTGCAATTCTCCTAGGCTGTAGTCTCTAGTGTCACCAACGAAAAGTAGTGGATGCTACCTGAAACGTCTGACCGTTTAAATAAATCATTTTCAGTTGCTCGAGTAACTGTTTTTGGCGTATATATTTTTTCAGTTCACCATACTGGTAAATTAGTAAGATGTCGACTGGAATTGAGCTAGTGGCCATAAAGACTCTTGGTGGTGATCAGCCCAACGGTGTAAAGGACAACCCACGACAACGGCCCATAGTCATCATTGGTACTGGCGACTATGGGAGGTCTTTTGCAGGGCGCTTGGTCAAGACCGGGTTTAAGGTAAGTAATTGCCTTTTCAAGTCTATATTAGGCCAACAAACATCTGTCCTCACTGTCTAGCACAGTAGCCTGATTAAATCACCTTTGCCGGCCGCCCAACATCCCGCCGGCCCCCTTGGGTAGCGGACTATGTAGGGAGCCCCCCGGAGCTTTGGTTTCAGAGGCTATCTAGTACTGTAAGTAACCCAAAATATATTTGAGTGACTCTCATGAGCCTTGTTTTGTGGTGAATATGAAGTAAATGATAATAAAACGACTCACCTCTTTGAGCTGTGTATAGTATAATTAGTCACGTTTTAAACTTGCATGTTTTAGTGTGAATCCTACGTTGGTGTTGACCATTACCCTCTTAGAAATCCACTCATGGTACCTGTGCCAGAATTTGGTGAAATAATTTTGAAAAAAAAGTTTTTTTTTATTGTCAAAATATTTTCAGTGATCGTAATACATCACTGTAACAAATGTGTCCAACCAAGTGACGTCACCAAAAACTGGATCATTTCCTACAGGTGGTGATCGGGAGTCGCTGTCCCGAACGGAGCCGCCCGAATGTTCCCGAAGGTGACGTCTTCGTGACGTCAGTGGCCGACGCCATCTCCCGAGGGCACATCGTCATCCTGGCCGTCCCACGTCACGCGTACTCCGACCTGGCCCAGCTCAGGGGCGAACTGGCGGGAAAGATTGTCGTGGACGTCAGCAATAAAGAGAAACTCGACAAAGTAAGTACATTCGATCGAGAGGAAGGATCTTTCATCCTCCCGAGGCAGAGTCGGTGGCGCGGTATTCTATTATTTCTATACCTCTGCAACATAGAATACCGCGCCACCGACCCTGCCTCGGGAGGATGGGATCTTTAAGTTGTGCTTTCAGCTGCAATTTTCAACACAGAGAACATGCATGGGCTTTAACGTTAAGAGTTTTTTTACACAACCAATATTGTCTCTTACCTTGCTTACGTTTTGGTGTCTATCAGACACCTTCCTCAAAACTTCTGACTTGGGTTTTGCTTCTCACCGCTATACGTAGCCGATGTAGAAAACCCCTATATCCTATATCCTATACTCTACCAACCAGATAAAACTATTTTTGGAAGATCTAATGAGCACTGTAAAGATATTTAAAACAAGAAAATGAACGACGGCACTGATTCTTGGTTTGTTTCAGGAGAAGTCCAACGCTGAGTACCTGAGTGAGGAGATCTTGGACAAGAGTCTTGTGGTCAAAGGCTTCAACGTCGTGTCGGCATGGTCTCTGGAGAGTGGACTGGTCGGAGGATCGAAAGAGGTGAGAGTATACTGTTCGACAAGTTTGCCATGCTGAAATAGTAGCGATAAATCCCTCATTACTCTCCAAGCAGAGGTTGTGGGTGAATAATCGTTAGCTCATATATGGCCCTTTTTTGTCGGTACCCCCACCAACCCGTCGGTGACCGGCGACCTTCTCTGGCTAATGGATACTGTCTTGCCACCGAAAGGGATCTGCTGGGAGATTATCCCTCATGGCTCTATGTTGTAGGGACGATTTTTAAACTACAATTAGTTGTTTTCTTTACATGGCATTTCTGTCCTTTTCTACATCAATTCTGTCGTCCTAGGCCTAGGCCGTGGGGAGTCTACAGGGGCCCGGGCTCGCCCAAGAGTGCAAAACAGCTCTGGCGTAAGCAACCCGATGGGACATCGGTTTGGAAATGTGATTGTTATTAGCTTGACGAGACTTTTTTTTCTGTGCCACCCAGGTGCCAATCTGCAGCGACAACAAGGAGGCGAGGAGCGAAGTCATCCAACTGGCCAAGGACATGGGCCTCGCCCCGCTAGACTACGGCTGTCTGCGCGCCGCCAGAGATGTCGAGGCCATCCCCCTCCGCTTGCTCCCCGGCTGGCGTTTCGCCATCAAAATCCTGTTCGCTCTCATGGCTGTCATGTCGCTCTACGTCTTGTTCCAGGGCCCGCTTTACATGTACGTGACCCAAGGCATCACCAAGGACGTCCAGCACTTCCCTGGCAAAGGCATGAACAGGGTGTTGGCCTGGCTTGCACTGACGCTGCTGACGCTGGTGTACTTCCCTGGCATCATCGCGGCTTTCCGACAGCTCGCCTACGGCACCAAGTACCAACGCTTCCCCGACTGGCTGGACACCTGGCTCAAGTCTCGTAAGCAGCTTGGCTTGCTGGCTCTGTTAATCGCCTCTCTGCACGCCTGTTTCTCCGCCTGCCTCATGTCCCCCGAGTACTACTACCACATGTACGAGTTGGGCCCGGTGATCGAAGGGAGGCAGTTCTACGGGCTGATGTTCTGGAGAGGCGAGCTGTTGATCTTTACCGGCGGGCTCGCCCTGGCCCTGATGAGCGTTCTCGGCGTCACGTCTGTCCCCTCCGTTCAGAACGGCATGAACTGGCGCGAGTTCGCCTTCGTGCAGTCCAAGCTTGGCTTCTTCTGTCTCTTCGTGAGCACGGGTCACTGCATCGTGTACGGCTCGACTGGGTTTACCAAGGGTTACCTGTACGTGTGGTACACACCTCCGCCTTTCCTGCTGGCCATGCTGCTGCCGTGTCTTGTCATCCTCCTGAAGTTCTTGCTCCTCTCTCCCTGTGTGAACACTCGTCTGATGCGCATCAGGAGGGGCTGGGAAAGCAAGCCCAAGGCTAACCCTGTGTGATCATTAGAACGACATTATTGTGTTTACCGAAGGAAAACATACTGTTTTTCCTCAGTTTCTTCCTCTTCACCTTCTTCTCCAGTGACCTATGACCTGACCAATGACATGATTTGTTGACGTCTGTCACCATGGTGACTGGTGTTGGGTTACATAATGTTGCAATTTCATGGTCTGCTCTCCTCCTGTCACCATATACTAGTAGTACATGTATGTGGATGTGTTTGAGTAAGAATTAACAGGGCAGACCATGTCCGAAGGTAAACATTATGCATTTGCTTTGCAAATGTTACTTCTCTAGTTATCAATATTGACAACAGATCAATCCTTTTACAATGTACCAAACCGATAACATTGGTCCAGATATTTTCCTTTTCATAATAGGGCCATGTCTTTCAAAGGGGGCATGTGGACCTTGAGACCGAATCCTGAGTCGCCATTTTTCAACTGGGATAAAATTGTCCGGATAGAGCCGAATTGATTTGCTTTATTTGATCCTGCTTGGAGCCAGATCGGAGCGAATCAATTTGGCTCGATCCTAGTGGGAATGGGGCTATATAGACGCCCACATTGGGATCAAATAACGCAGTCATACTATATATACTTACTTGTACTTACACCACATATATATACATTTCTCTATAAGATCTATCTATATTACCTATATAAGAGTTTTGAACGTGTCTGTCAATGGTATGACAATCTTATGGATATTTCAAGTAATGGTTGTTGGGTGTAACCATGTTTGAATATCTGCTTCTTACTTAACTTTTATATACTCACTGCAGTTGATGAAATACATGTAGATACATGTACGTGTATAATAAACATTGGTGTATGGTACATGTATTAGCTGTTTCCATGTGTTAACAATGTTATGTAGCAAGCTAACTTTTAGTTGCCATTCTCAGCACTGTAACAGTTGTTGAGCTCGAGGGGCTGGCATATGTGCTCTCACCTAGTCTGGTAGCTATGTTACAACTTGGCCCACTGAACAACTTTGCAGAGACATCTATCTGTCATATAGTGAACTGCAACTCGGACCTAATAATGTATGAAGGATTATGACATGAGAATGCTGCATGCATAAACAATGCCGCATAAAGACAACTATTTCCCACAACTCGAAATCTCTTCAATTTTATTTTCAGGAGTATATAATTATATAATATTCATCCTTGTTAGCAACAGAGAAGCAAGCAATGATAAAAAGATCTTCAAATCTGCTGTCTGCTTTTGGTACAGCAATGAACCTAGGTATTACAATGCCTCTACCACACAGGTGTTGCCAAAAATGCAGCCCCCCATTCAATGCATACTTTGAGACTTCTCACACAAAACCATAATGACCTCCATGCCAAATGCTTCAAACGATTTGGTATTCAGAGTTCAGTTCAGTATTATATATTCAGAAAACCCCAGTTGTAGAAGGGCAGCACATTTTGAGTGAAACCCTGTCACTTTGTTACAGTGTATGTTGAGCACATGGCACCAACAGTTTGTTAGGTAAAGAAATAGGTAAAAAAAAACAAAGAAGTTCAATGGAATAACATGCACAAACTCTGACCACTGCTGACTAACTTCTGTTGCCCACAATATTAAAAAAAAAGTGCTTTAAAAAATATTGGCATGCGACAATGGACGGTTGTACATCAAAACAAAAGTGCCTGTTCCTTGGCTGCAATATCCCAGCAAGTCTTTTGTGCATATGGCTGTGTACCTGATATACTGTCAGGGGTACAATATTCAAAGACAATACAAACTCTACTACTGGATAAATAATGGAGATAACTTTCGGACGATTTGAGTGACATCCGTCACTCTTATTCTGCGTCACTAAATGAACTGAGAGCAAAAGATTGTTAGTTGTGCTCTCAGTTCATTTAGTGACGCTGAAGAAGAGTGACAGATGTCACTCAAAACGTCCTGAAGTATGTCCCTTATCTATCCAGTAATAGAGTTTGTATTGTCTTTGAAATTCTATCTGGATGTCAAACCTTCATCAACGTATAGGATTCATCTCGTGTCCACTAGTGTTTTAGTTTGTCCAAGTACAAGTTCACCTGACACACTTGATGCTTAGGTCTGGACTTGGACCAAAACACTTGTACTAGGTACACAGCTCTATTCCTGCAATGGTGACCAATGGCACATTTTTCAACTATTTCGCAATTTACAAAAGTTTTATATTTCACCATGATAGCAAACCAGCATATACACATATATATATATTTGTCAGCCAGCACTACCTAAAAAAATTGAAAAAAAAAAAGGAGTTCATGTACACATTTAAGCAGATCTAGCTCTCAAACAGCTATTCTCATATACAACTCAAAACTAACAAATTAATTCAGAATCTGATTCATAACTTTTAGTAAACATCACCCACAGAAAAACTGCTAACTTCCTTAAGTGTTTGTGTACTCAACTCTATTCATGGACTTAAGATGCCGTAACAGCAAAATCAGTAAAGGAAGGGAAGTTCATTGTTGGTTTTTGGAATTACATCTGAAGTTCATGTTGGCTAGTACAGGCTTGTTTTCTTCATGATGCGTAAGAATTCCTCCTCGTTGATTTCCCCATCACCATCCCTGTCTGCTTCGTCAATCATTTCCTGACAGGGGAAAAAGTAAATTTGTTAAGTTGGAAGAATAATTCCAGAAAGAAAATTATGCCCAAACAGCTATGTCATTCTTTTATAACAAGTACAGAGAGCTCTCTTGCATGCAAGAACATGTGTGAGCGCACATGCCTGCATCATGTTCGAACAGGTGATCTATACCTGTTTGAGGGCATGGTGTTGAGGGAAGTGGCTCTAGAATCGGCCAGTTATTTTAAGTCTAAAGTAATAAAATCTTAATCGAGATCAGACGTGAGTTTGTTTCAACAGAACCTGTCACTCTGATAGATACACGAAGGTCTGTGTTTTTATATACTAGTAATGTATATTGTACCTTAAACAAATTCACGCAAAGGCCACCGTGTCAACTGTGACCCTCACTCAGGTGTAGGGACTGACACGGTCATCCTACTTGGAAAATCTGTATCTGTATATCTGTACATGAATCTGTATCTGTGCATGAATATGTATATGTACATGAATCTGTATCTGATTGCAAATAAAGATATCGAGTGATTGCCAAGAAAGAAAGAAAAGAAAGAATATTGTACAATTTTGATCATTAGAGGATAGGAAGAATCATGATAGCAGTGGAATGATGTGCCCTCAAACTATCTGTACCTGAAGCTCTTCATCCGTTAGGTTCTCTCCTAGCTCCTTGGCCACTCTCTTCAGGTTCTTGAAGGAGATTTTGCCCGTCTCGTCATCGTCAAAGAGACGGAAGGCTTTCAGGATCTCCTCCTTCGAGTCTTTTTCACTCTGTCAAAAAACATACATCAATTACATATATCAGTACAATATACCAGTATCAGTGCACCAAGGGTTTTCTAGTACACATGTAAATGTAATACATGGTGTAGTAAAGTCATTCCCTAAACAGAGTCAAATTTTCTTATGCTACAACACAAATAATAGAAAAACATACAAATAGAAGAAAAACATACCATTTTCTGGGTCATCATTGTGAGGAAGTCATTGAAGTCAATGGTACCTGAAAAATGGAAAGTCGTGTTAGCATTTACTGTATACAAAATTCAATTATGAATTTGAAAGATACTGATTTCAACTTCAGGGAAATGGACTTGAAGCTTAGATTTTTGAGTACAAGTCTCTTTGCACAAACAGGTTCTAATTGTCAGATAAAACTTAGTCCAACCTGAGCCATCCTTATCGATGTCTGAAATCATCTTCTTTATTTCCTCCTTCTTTGGCTCAAATCCAAGTGCTCTCATGGCAACCTGAGGAAAGGAAAAACATTGTACAAAATGTGACTAACTTTCATGGATCTTCACTCTATTTGGTTAGTTGCTACATGTACCAGGAAATGATTATGGATATTGAATGCCTTCATACAAATCAGTTTTTCTGACAAAATCTGGGAACTAAGATCAGGAAGGAATGAAAACATCAATTGCCTTAAAATTAATTTGAATTCATTTATTTTTTTTGGGGGGGGGGAGGGGGGAGACTTAATTTTACAGTGAAAAGGGGACAGGTTTTTCAGGTGCTTTAAATTTGCAGTTGAAAATGTTCTGTTGTACAGTAGCAACACGATGGAAACACAAATTTGCTGTATCATGGTGACAAAAATGATGATCCGACTGGTGAAGAGACGAGAGGCCTAAACTGGAAGGTACTTCCTACCTGGCTAAAGCTATCTACTATGATTTGGCAACCTGGAGAGCTCACAATGAAAACATAAAAACCATGAACATTTCAAACTTTACAGTAATCGTAACATACCTTAAGTTCCTTGACATCAATGGTCCCGGATCCGTCTGCATCAAACAGGTCGAAGGCCTCCCTGATCTCCTGTTTCTGTTCCTCCGTCAGCTCAGGTTTGGGACCCAGCTTCTTCCTCTGACCACCTCCCAGCGTGGACCTTTTGTAGCTCTGTGCCTGGTTGGTTAACATGGGAATTTTTTTTTTATTTACTTCATGAGTCACCACAAAACAAGGCTCGTGAGAGCCACTCAATGTTTTGGGCTTCTGTGAGGACAGATGTTTGTTGACCTTAAAGTTCAATGTTATACCCATACTGGGAAACAATAATAAAATGGTAGCTTATTCCACAGTGATGTTGTTCTAGGAAAAAAACTTTCAGCGTGGAACTTCCTCCTGACAGGACCTAAACAGGTGAAGGGTGATTTGCTTCAGTTGAAGTGGCGAGATGCGTCCTTGCTGAGAAAGTTTGAAGTGGGGAATCAGAGATGGCAGGTTTGCATACCAGGTAACCTGCATACCATCTTCGGGGTAGAAGATGTCTAGCCTAGGTGGTCCTGATCTCTACTTTATCCAACATCAGTGATGTTCATCATACTCGCCCAATGCTTAACCAGCTTGTTCTTAAAATCAGGATTCACCCCTCTTGACCATATTATTTTTTATTATACTGTTTTGTAATATTGTAAAGCCTGATTAGGCCATGTTGATTTGATTATATGGATGACATCCGCGCGCGCATGAATTTTCGGCCGTTTCCAAAAAAAAAAAAGTTTTCAACCATACTGTAAATCGTGCAAAACAGTTGCTAAATGAGCAAAAATATACCATAAGTTGCAAGGAAAACATTTAGAACCGATACCAATGTCGTAGAATGCCAAAATCAAAGGAAAAAAGACAAAAATGTAAAGAAATGAATTTGAAGAGTAGATTATTCGCCATAACATATTCTGTGCCATTTGTTCAACCTTCATTAACACGTAGATTTCATAGTGAAAGCAACTTTTTTTTTTGCAAAACTTTTTTTTTATTCGCACGCGCGCATCAGTTTTGGGGTTCCCAGAGGATGTCATCCATATAATCAAATCAACATGGCCTTACCATAAATTTATGGCCATTTTTGAGTTATTTATAAATAGCTCCTATAATTTGATATTACACTTTTCTAATTCCATCACATATAAGTTACAGAGAATAAGATTTCTGTCTATTAAAGTGGTACACAATTTTGCTCAAATCAAACCACGTATCATGAAACTTTGATTGAAAGCAAAAAACAAAGCTGTCAAGTGCCCCCCTCCCCTCTACACAAATCGCCTGAGAATTGAAATTTCGATTTGTCTTCAGTTTATCGCAAATACATCCTTTTCTAGACCACAGAAAAATCATTAGTTATCAGATTCAACACAAAATGTAACGTTTCGTTCATAACACAGAAGCACAATTTGCCAAGTGAGGTTTGAAAATTTTGGTAAACAAGAAACTGAAACACCAAAACATACGGTCGAATTTGTTCACAGTTTTCCGGCGATACTATCCATTCCTGGACTTGTTTCTATAGCTTAAACGGTGTCCACTGTACGCAGTGATCATTTTCAGTCACAAAATTATACTTCGACACTCAGAAAGCTGTAAAAATCGTGAAAAATTCGACAAGAAATGGAAATCTAAAATCTACCCACCATTTTGTTTGCGGTTGCTCTGAAACGAAGAGACCGCCACGCGCGGTGAACTGTGGGTAATTTGTCTAGCCGCCTAAGCCCCACAGTACACGCGCTCGGATTGGCCAAGAGTTTAAAGCATGATCGAAAATAGACCAATAGCAGGCCGTTTAACATTATGAGGGTCAATAACATTTCATCACACCACATTCAAAATGGCTACTCGAAGTAGGAAGGTAGGACACTTTGAATGAAAAATTCTCTGTTTTATGTATTATCGTGTGCGAAAACGGATAAAATATATCTGGTGAACACGATTAAGTTTTGTTTGTTATTTGTGTGCAAAATTTCACCAGCCGGTGATGTTTAAAAGTAATATTTTTGTCAGAACTTGCTGTAGCTATAGACACCTCATGTCTATGTAGATAAATGTCCTTGCTATAAGTTATAACAATTAAACATTGTAACGTTACATGTACTAGTATATACTCTGTAGTATAAATAGTTGAAGAGTTTCACCGTGTCCATTGATGTATTAGTTCCTGAGTATCAATTTTTGCCATAATTGCCATGAAATTATGTTGTAGTTTTGAAGACGTGAAATTGCATTTATCATATAATTTTTGCAGGGTAAGAAGTGCACAGTGATAGGAGGTTGTGGCTTCCTTGGCCGGTACATAGTGGAGAGACTGTTGGAGGAGGGATACACTGTCAGTGTGTTTGACATCGCAAAGACGTTTGAAGATGACAGAGTGAAATTCTTTGTTGGAGACCTCTGTCAGGAAAAGGTAATACCGTATATATTGTTGTTGTTATGTACATGTATATTATTTGTGTGTTTGTAACTTAAATCTTCCAGGGCTCATTACACATTACACACACAACTACACATACAAAATTTCCAATATGATAGTTTGGTAGTTCTAGGAAAAAACAAAATTTTGGAACACATCAAAACACGTAAACTAAAGCATGGTTAAGAATCATAATTGACAGAATGTACATCAAGCATGTGATATTGAATAATGTACTACTAGTACTACAGCCATACTTCCTATGTGTAATTACGTCAAGTATAATGCTTCTTACAGGATCTTGCCCCTGCTATCAGTGATGTGCAGACTGTGTTCCATTGTGCCTCTCCCCCACCAAGTTCTGATGACAGGGACTTATTCTACAGGGTTAACTTTGTGGGTACCAAGAATATCATCAGTGCTTGCAAGAAAGCTGGAGTGCAGGTCAGTAAAATGCTAATAACAAATAACATAAATGGTTAAACCCAGGATTCTTGACTAGTTTACTATTTTGTATGTTTAGTGCTCTTTGTGGTTGACTTTATATCATATGTACTAGAGGACATGCAGTGATATGTTGTAAGTCAGCATAATTTCTCAAAGTTGAATTTATGGATGCTCGAGGTCTTCAGTATGCTATGAACCTTGAATGGGGACATTAGGCATGTCAATGTGGGAGACAATGGGTTCTTCTTCACTCGTTCCTGTCCTCCATCAGTGAGCTATCAGTATGCTATATTAACAAGTATTGATGAAATGTTGAATTTTTTTCTAGAAACTTGTACTTACCAGTTCAGCCAGCGTAGTGTATGAAGGAACAGATATCAAGAATGGAACAGAGGACTTGCCCTATGCTAAGAAGCCCATGGACTACTACACTGAGACAAAGGTCTTACAAGAAAAGGTGATGTCTCTTTGTATGTGTCTTAAAATCTGTTTGTATGCAGGGCTCGAAATTAACATTGTCCCAGTGTCAAATGACACTAAATTTTCAGCTTGGGACAATTCAAATTACGTTTCAGGACAATTTTGGGGCAATTGGAAAATTCTAAGACCATCCACGTCATTTGGGAACGCGATCCATCCATCCTGCTGCAGACTGCTGGCAGCCTATAAATATAGAATACTCTGACAAACATTTAAATTTGACCAATCAGGGATTCCAAATATCAGGGACGGTGCCATGCCCATGATATTATCATGTATTTCCCTACATTTACTAATAAAGTGGACTTCAAGTTGTACAAATTCAGTTGTTGTTTTCTTATTTTTGTCATCAACTTATTTCCTGAAAAGCAGGCTGGGACAGTCCATCTTCAGTTCGGGACAATTGAAATCTATGTTCGGGACAATTCTGGGACAATAGTGAAAAAAGTTAATTTCGAGGCCTGTGTATGTCTTCTTTCATTATGTTTACCAAAGGAAAGCATGTTGTTTTTCCTCAGTTTCTTCCAATTCTTCTCCAAACAAATAAGGTCAATGACCTGAACCAGACATCTCTCATGGTGGTAACTGGTGTTGGGTTACATCATGTTGCAAGTGCCATGTAGAACTGAGTTCAAGAGGGGCTGCATGGCCACCACATAATAATGAATGAATGTGAATGAATATGTACATGTATGAATGTGTTTGTGTAAGAATAAAGAAGCTTGTTAAGCTGGGCCATGTGAGGGTAAACATAATGCATTTTACTTTGCAAATGTTCCTTTGTACTATACACTAACAAGAACATGTCCACTTGAACTGCTACAGAAGCATGTTAATTTTTGGCTAAGTACATTGTACAAATGTATGCTCTCTACAGGAGGTGCTAGCAGCTAACAGCCCAGAAGAGAACTTCTTTACTGTTGCCATCCGTCCCCATGGAATATTCGGCCCAAGGGACAGACAGCTCGTTCCTATACTAGTGGACACTGCACGGGCAGGGAAGACCAAGTTCATGATAGGGTAAGTCGTTGTTACAAAATGTATTATGTTTACCTAAGGAAAAGATATTGTTTTTACTCAGTTTCTTCTTCTCCAACCAAACAAATAAGGTCAATGACCTGAACCAGACATCAGTCACCATGGTAACTGGTGTTGGTTTACATCACACAAATTTTATAGCAGGAGGTATTTAGACTCCTGTCGCCATATATATGAGTGTGTTTGAGTAAGAATTAACAGAGCAGACCATATGCGAAGGTAATCATTGTGCATTTGCTATGCAAATGTTAAATTTCTGGTGTTATCTTGCTATTGTCACCATTGTTTTTGCAGAAATCAAAAGTCAAAATTTCATCTGAAGTAGAGCACATAGTAGTCCATGTAAAACACTGTGGCCCACATTGCAAAGTTGATCATTTCTGTTACAGAAATGGGGAGAATCTTGTTGACTTCACGTACGTGGTGAATGTTGCACATGGACACCTGCTGGCTGCTGAACACCTGCACAAGGACTCACCTGTCTGTGGCAAGGTAGGATCAGGATAAAGCAAGAACTGAGCATACAGTGTAACTGTTGGCATCTTTGCCAGCCTTACCAGTTGAAGTCAGTAATGCTTAATCACTGATCAGTAGCTGTATTGGCTTGATCTACTTGTGCTGTTCCATGTTACCTATCTATGTTGGTTGCTTATTGATATCAATATCAAATTTTTACACTGCTAAATAGCATAATTGCAATTGTTATTTTGCATTTCATTTAGATTTATGGATATTAGATTTACAGTTACCGGTAGGTTTATTTTCAAGCTTTTTTTCTTTTTCAACCTTCTTGATCTCTAGATTCTTGCTTATATGAATGATGTGCAGATTGTGCCCAAATGCATGAATATGTATCTCTTGTCTCATCCTTACCATGACTTTAACTTGTTATTATGAATGCCATACATGTCTGATAGTAATCTATATCTCTCCTTTCTGCATATATTTCCAGGCATTCCACATCACCAACGATGAGCCCATCCCCTTCTGGACTTTCATGTCTCGCATTCTAGAAGGTCTCAACTACCCCTCCCCAAAGATGGGGCTTCCTTACCTCCTCATATACTACTTAGCTGCCTTCCTGCAGCTTCTTTGTCTGCTCCTGAAGCCTATCAAGGAGATCAAACCCACCTTCACACCTATGAGGGTGGCTCTGGCTGGGACCTACCATTATTACAGCTGCCAGAGGGCCAAGCAGTTAATGGGGTACAAACCTGTGGTGCCCCTGGATGAAGGCATTAAGCTTACTGTAAAAGGTTATGCTCATTTACAAAACAACAACTGAACACCATCATGAAGGTTCATCTGTGTTTGTGAGTTACATGTTTAAAGTTAAAACTTTTGGTCCAACAACTTTTGACGTCACACTTCAAAGAAGCCATGTGACAAGCTTCACTGGGTCAGTACCTACTGAGGAAGACCAGAGTGACTGGTCGAAAGCTCTAAGTGAGAGAAATTTTTTTGTGTTGGACCAAAAGTTTTAACTTTAAACAACAACTGAACACTATAGTGATCAGTTACAAACTTAGTGGCAGTGATTTAGTCTGGTATTATTTCTGGGAGTCTTGTAGGAGATTGATTATGGCCTGTTGATTTTTTATATACCTTGGGAGATTATTAATTTGGACTAACACTTGTGATATTAGAGGTGATAGACCGATTTTGAATATCCATCACAGTTATCAGTTCAAACAATGAGAGAATCATCAATAACTACATTTAGATATTTAAATACTAAAATTATGCTATTATTTATCAATAGTAATTATTATGAAAAATGTTGATGCATAATCATGCATGATGTTAATACTTAAAATTCATAAATGTGCAAAGTACTAAGCAATGCCATGACTAGCTTCAGAAAATGTTCAGATTTAAACTATCATAAATACACACATCTGATATATGACTATTTCATTTGTACTTTATTCTGCAATCTTGTCTGTACATTGAATAAGTTACAGTAAAGATGGGTGATTCTTTAGGATTCTGATTAAGTGCATATTTACACTATGGGTTATATGGCAATGTCATATGTTTGACAGTACTTAGGTATACATGGCTCTAATAAATTGTACAATGTACATCAACTGTCATTCTATATACTATATACATAACTAATACATTTTGCCTTGTGGATGAAGTATTGGGTACTTTCTATCTGCCAATTTTCCAATGCACTATCTGATTATTATTATAGTTTTTTATACAGATGACCAACTCCATATAGTATATACGCTTGAGTAGCTTATTCATATATTAATATAATATGCAAGTATAACACAAAAGAACTCTACAGAAATCTATATAATAATCTTTTGTATCTTTATGGCCATAAGGCCATGTTGATTTGATTATATGGATGACGTCCGCGTGCGCATGAATTTTTGTCCGTTCCCCCCCCCCCCAAAAAAAAAGAGTTTGCGACCATATTGTAAATCGTACAAAATGAGGCAATATAAGTCGTATGTTGAAAAAAAAAGTATTGGAAAACGATACTAATGTCATTGAATTCCGAAATCAATTCAGGAAAAGAAGAAAATGTGAAGAAATGAAAAGGAAGAGTCTTATTATTTGCGATACCATACTCTGTGTTTAGTCATTTGTTAAACCTTAAGACTACAATGTACGTACATTTCATATTGAAGGAAACTTTCTTTGCCAAACTTTTTTTTTTGCACGCTCGCGTCAGTTTGGGGGTTCCCAGAGGATGTGATCCATAGAATCAAATCAACATGGCCTAATGAAGACTTAAGAAGTTAATGAAGATTTAAGACGTAATTTCTCTTGGCAGAAACTGGACTGCCTTCTGTCCTCTCCTGGTCCTGGTGGCCAGCTTGGGTTCGCCCCGCTTGGTGATGCCCATGTACCAGTTCTGCTGGGCGTACTTCTGTGATCTGTACGTGTTGTACCTGTTCGCCTCCAGCGTCTCAAGGAAGTAACATTCGTCGTTCAGAACATCCTGGGGGAAAGATAGTAGACTGGTTTAGTTGCAATACACATAGCTTTGCAGCCTTACTGTTTTGTTTATTTATTGTTTTGCACTCACAAATAAAATAAAATATAACCTAGAAGTTCTGAAACACGACTAGCCTCCTTCGCAGACTTTTGAGGTGGCGGCAATAATTTCTTCGGGGAGAGACGCGAGTTATGCCGGGGAGAGACGGTTTCTTGGGCGACGAAACCGTCTCTCCCCGGCAAAGTCCCTCGGCGGCATAACTCGCGTCGCTCCCCAAATTAACGTCGCCATCTCAGAAGTCTGCGAAGGAGGCTATATACGACTATCTCAAGAATCATTCCCTCAGTTCGTATAAGAGGAATGTGCGCGGTTCTAAAGTGACGGCGCCTTTTGACGCACGTCTCTGACCCAGTTTCCGACTCTGCGTGGGCGGGTAAGACGTCGGACAAAGATCACACGAGGTAACAGGGTCCTTCGTGTGTGTAACCAGGCTTTAACACCGTAGTGCAATGGGAAACTTTTGTAAATTTTTCTCTGTGACTTGGAAACTTGCCAGAAAAGACCATATGGACGCAGGGTTTGATTCCGTTTGTTACAGCTACTGTTGAGAAAATATATAGTGGGAGACCCTCCGCAAGTTCTGAGTGGGCCAAAGTAAAGACCGAGAACTCTCCCCACCATTCATCAGCGGCTATTTGTACCATCCGCACACAGAGACTGGTATTCTGGCTCTGTGTACACTGGCACGGTCACAGCAGACGCGTCGGGTGTTTTTCGGACGTCTGGCTGTTACGTACCATCATGTAATGTGTAGGTGGATAGACGGAGAGAGGAAGGGGTTGGAGGGTCCTCATATCCTGCATTTTCAGAACACTAGCACTACGTACCTATATCGTACGAAATAGATGCAACGATTCCATATCTCCTATATACAAACTAGGGTGATGGAGTAGGATTTGGCAACAAGGCATTTCTATATGGCTTGTTGCCGTCTGTTTCTTGCTTCCAGGTTCTACACATGGCACCAAAACATGTGTTCACAAAGACGTTTTAGTTAGTATTATCCATTACCACTCCGCATGCTCAGACAATGCGAATTGCTGTATATATTTCAAATGTGACACAAGAGATCACAAAAGCCACTCCTTAATTACTGGCAACTAATTTAACGGTAACGAGCAAAGGAAACATGTGGAAAGTACACACTTTGACTTTCGAATTCCTGTATGGCTTGTTGCCTTCTTTCGCTTCTATATATACAAGTATGCTCTACCGTCAAAATAATGACACCAAATGATGTGTTCACAAACTCGTCTCAGTACAAGCGCCACTCCTGAAGGAGGCGGTTGACAACTAATTTAACGGTAACGAGCAGAGGAAACATTAGGAAAGTACACACCGTTGAGTACAGGCGGCCTGATTCGTTGATCGCCAGGAACCTGTCTGCCTCCACACCCCGGATAGTCACCACTCCCGGCTCAGGGGAGAAGATCTCTAGCATTGCTGGGGAGTAGAAACGTACGTCAATAGAGAGAAATGATGGAAATATACGCATTGATTGTATAAACAGTAGTACAATTAGTATAATTTAATTCATTTATAGTCTTGTACGTAGGTCATTTCTGTTGCACCCACGTGTCTGTCTGTATGTCTAGTTAAGGACCTTGCAAAAGTCGCTGTACTTTTGTTGTGTCAATAAAGTTCTATATTTGTACAATCAACAACACCAGCAGAGAAAAACGCAAGAACATGTGATCACTCGGTCATTAAGTTCACTGGGAGGACATCTAAAGTTTAAGGTACTGGCTGTGTGTATAAACAAAGTGTAAGAGATGCGTGTACACGTAGCTTTGCAATAAACACGATAAAGTTATTTCGGTGATGCCTTGGTGGTCTGAAGCACTTGGTGACTTCATAAACAAACCTGTAAAATCGTACAGCCCTTCATGTGACTGTTGACTGAGCGACTGCTAAATATAATTCCCATTAGCACAATGATGTAGACATACTGGAACCTCATAAAATATTTTGTGTGCTCAAATTGTGCAGCATTACTGATGCGTATCATCTGTAGAATTGTTACACGATGCAGCATGTAGATTCAATTTTCCGCATGCTTTAAACGTGCCCATGCAGTTTTAGGGCTTGAAAACCAGATTTTTTAAAAGTCAATATTCTAGCCACTTATCTACATACTGAGTTGAAACAACACTGTCCCAGTGTATATAGACATTCATGGAGCAAAAATACTGAAAACTGTGACAGAAAACGGATACTGGACTGATTTTGGGGTACCACCCAGAAAATAAAGGACTCATCTTGGGGCTTGCTTCTGGGCTGTTCTAAATGCCTAAAGGATGGAAAACTGATGCAAATGTGGGGCAGTAGGGGTCAGTATCATAAAGATTGCCTTATTCCTAATATTTCCAGTTTTGCTGCCCAAAAATTGCATTGGATGCCTTTAATATAATTTTATCATATTCCTTTCTTTTATTTTGTATTACATTGTATTTTGAATGGACTCCAGGAAGATTAGTGGATGTATTCACTAATGGAGATCAAAATAAACCAAAAGAAACCAAACATGATGCAGCATGTAGATTTAATTTTCCGCAAGCTTTAGAGCATACGCCGGCCAATTTGGAGCCTGTACTGACAAATGAGTTTGCTCGTCAGGTCAACACCTCGGCACTCACAGGCGGCCGCGCTTGATTAAATATAGCCCAGCGTGCCCCTGGTGTGACCGAATTGGACAGGGGAGGAATGGGAGCCTCTTCACCCGCATAGCTAGTCTCTACAAGACTCCTTTGCAGGCTGAATAAATAGTAGAAATCGGTCTAAAAAGGGGATTTTATTAGCCAGAGAAGTTGGCCGGCCGGAGGGTCCGTTTGCCTGCACGGAACTTCAGTAGACCCTCTCCGGTCGGCCAATTCCTCTGGCCAATTAGATCCCCTTTTTAGGCCGGTTTCTACTATTTATTCAGCCTGCAAAGGAGTCTGGTGGAGACTACGCATAGCACGCAAGCCTTGTTAGGGGGAGGGTAGGGGATCTCCAAGCAGATATCCACCTTACGTTCTCTTTTACACAACCAAAATTATCTTACCTATCTTACGTTTTGTGTCTTTCAGGCACTGTGTCTTTCACGGTGTCTTTTTGAAGAAGGTGTCTGAAGGGCACCGAAATGTAAGCTAGGTAAGATAAGTTTGGTTGTGTAAAAGAGAACTCCTATATCCTATATATCCTACCAACCTGATGACACTATTTTCATATGCAAGGATTGAGTCCAGACTCTGTGCTTTACAAGTGTTTTGTGGCATCTAGTGCTTTTAGTTGTGCACCCCTTTTGTTTACTTTTTACCTTCCCTAAAAAGGACCACTACTAAAAGACGAAGTAATATTGCCACACGCGTAAAATACTGGGACAGAGCCACACCTTGCGTCTGCTTGGAAATTAGAAGGGGGTGCACACAAGGCTTGTCAGTTTGTCACACAGTAACAGTGGCATGATTATGATGTTTCAGAGGACGCCTAGTAACAGCTCTACAGGACAGCTAATGATTGTTATTTTAGAGTTAATTATGCCCTTGCTGACCAATTTGCTGGTCAGATCTCCATAGAGTACCTAGTAGGGCATATCCGAGGTATGCAAACAATCCAGAAGCAGTCACGCTCCTAGATATACGAGTTACCGTATCTGTTGTAGCGGGGTTGACCTATGACAATACAATCCATCCGCTACATCAAAACATAATATGATAAATGGTGGTCTAGTCAGGAATAGAGCCTTCACTCACTCGATGTCAACCTATCGCTTTAGCCGGCCGAGAAACGATAGCCATGCATTTGACACACATTTGAACAGTATGGCATCCATCTAATCTCCAAGCAGAATTCTTTTGGTGGGGGTAAGACAGTATCAAATTGGCCACACTGAATCTTTTGGTGGGGGTAAGACAGTATCAAATTGGCCAGACTGTAACCATTTCCCCACCCAAGGTGGTGGTAGCGACAAAAAAAAGGGGCCATACATAAAAAGCAAACGATCTTCCACCATCAACCTCGAGAGCTCTGTTTGGAGAGTAGCATCCATCCTAGTTGTGCATACGATTAAAGGCATACAGGATTCATAAGGATATGCACACTAACCGTACGGATCGTTGTTCTCCTTGGTGCCTGTTATTCTCCCATCAGGCAGGATCTGGACGTGGTAGCCCTTGTTTCTGCAGTACAGTTGTTTCTTGTCCTTGTACTTGCCGAAGCCCAGGTTAGACTCGGGGTCCTTCCCCAACAGAACATCATACACGTTCCCCATCTCGTCTATAACAGCGGCGGGCGCTTCGCCGGTCATCGTGGCACGGGCAGGGAATGTTGACGTTACGTTCGGCAAAGATACTGATAATGCGTTGATTGACGCTACAGCGTTTCAGTTACAACGACGGTACAACGGCCACGTTCCAACACTAGAACCAACCAAATATACCAGCGCTAAAATCCTTTCAATTCAAGACCGAGGTTTGAACTCACAACTTCGCGACAGGCTCGTCCTTGGCGGATATATAAATACTTCCTTCGTCCGCGGCCTACTTAACGAATAACGTGAATACTCTCAAGCAGGTTGACTTCTTATCTTATATAAGAGTCCCCGTCGCCTCTGCAACAACAATGCGGATGCGCGTCAGTAGCACCAACTGGCCTCTAGTGCATTCTACGAATATAGAACACTTCCCGAATACAGCGAAAACAGGACAGGCAGACAGGTCACACATCAGGCAAACCCACCAACACACGGGCTTATCGGAAACAGTGGGCGATTAACTCCGTGGATGGTTTTGTTGTGAGTCCTCACAAACATAGCAGTCCGCCCACTGCGGTTTCCGAGTTGTCGCTCTATATAAATCACAGAGGGGAGAGTCTGCTGTGATCGCGGCTGGGTGCGCTCTTCCGCTGGGGATAGCCTCTAACAGGCTTCAGGAGGCAGCTGGAAACAGTAGAAATTGGCCCAAAAGAGAGATGACATGCCGGGGGAGTTTGACCACTAGAGAGTACATCGGGTGCGGCAAAATGTACCTTCCAGCGGACCGACTCCCCCTGGCATGTTATCTCTCTCTATTTGGCCAAGTCTACTCTTTCTATCCGCCTCCAGAAGCCTGGTAGAGGCTAAGACGATAATACATGTTGGAACGCCGACTACGTATACAGCCAAAAAGTGTCACATGCGTCAAGGGCGCCGTACAATGTTGATGTAGCAGTGGGCGGGATTTTGAAGCCGTGACAGAACCAACCACAGACAAAGCTATAAGACAGCTTTCTCGGTAACAACAGAGATGAAGTTCAAGTGTAAGGCATGTGTGTGGCCAGTCTGCCCTCAAAACCGCCCTTAGTTTTCGATCGTACGACAAATGTACGACATGTGTACGACATGTGTACGACTGTGTACGAATGTGCACGACATGTGAACGACTATGTACGAATGTGTACGACTGTGTGCGAATGCGTACGACATGTATACGACTGTGTACGACATGTGTACGACTGAGTACGAATGCGTACGACATGTGTACGACTGTGTACGAATGTCTACGACATGTGTACGGCTAGTCTGTCTTCAAAACCGTTCGGTTTTCGATCGTACGACATAATGTGACTTACTCTAGCGTTGGAAAACCAACTTGATCATGGGAAAGTGTTATCTAGAGAATAAGGATGTAGATCAAATCGGATGGTTTACGGACATTAATTTTGTTTGTTTGTAAGACCAGTATTATTGGTAACGTTACGTTTGAACTTCGCTTCGTCTTCAAATTAGCTTCTACTAGTTCTTCTATATAGATGACGAGCTGCGCTTGATACAGCTTAAGATGTTACGTTAGGAAGAATCTTAATTGCTATAGAAAACCAATTCTACAGATGACATCATGTAATATCAATTATTTCATTCTGATACTAAAGACAGCGTCCTTTGATCACTTCATATGGTTATCATTATCGTGTACTACGACAGAGATTATGTCTTGAAGTTCAAACGCTCTGCTATATTTTGTCACAGTTATTCTAAATCTTTTTGTCCTCAGGATGTTTAGCTTCCTCCTTGCCTTCGTACATGTATGTGCGGCATTCTAGCCTTGAACTTCAAACGAAACTCCCCTTGTAAACATTTACGCACAAGTGTGAAGTAAGCTCGAGGGGGAAGTTTTCGGTTACAATTCGGAAACCCCTTGGGAAGCCCCATTGGGGAAGCACTTAAGAATGAATGAAGACCGACCTTTATTGTACACACATACCCACTGGGTTAAGTGTAGGTCACAAAAAAGGAATGCTTAATGCTTAATCCTTACAAAAAAGGAATACAGATAACGTTACATATATACATCGTTAAGTAGCTACAATCAAGTAAATTCGATTTCTTCTCGTTTCTTAGTAATGGCAAAAAGGTAAGAACAGATATGTTTCAATACAGAAGGTTTGTCTAAGCTCATTAGAAATACAAATATATCTGTACAGCTTAGATGTATAAAGAAGGGGAACATGGATTGTATCAGATTATAAAGATCTACTCTCTCTTTGTAGTACAGCTTACATTCTATAAGTATTACAAAATGTTTCTCATCTTCGATTCTTCCTAGATCACAGTACCGACATATTCGTTGTTCTAGGGGAGTGCGGTTATGTTTAAGATCGCTTTGGAGAGTTAACATCCCGTTGTCAAGTTGAGCCGAGTGCCTGGTGTGCTGTTCAACACATACAGACTTTCCTTTCATTCGTCACTACAAGGGCCAACACTTTGTTATGACGTATAGGTTCTACATATAAATAATTCTAACCCGCTCATCTGTAACCATTTCCCGTGATGTAAGAACTACATACAGGGGTCTCCCCGGAATTTTTCAGAGGGGAAGTGCTCCCTAATGTGTTGACGCCACTCCGACAAAACAAAACAAAAAAGTTTCATGAAAATACTCCGTATGAAAATACTAAGAGGTCGAAAACCTAAGAGGTATAATTTGGGGAGAGGTGCTAGGATTTTGGGGAGGGGGGAAGCACCCTTGCTTCATTGCTTGGAGAGAACCCTGAACTAGTAGTAGGACGTAAAGGACACTTTTTTAAAACATCATTGTTAATATCTTACCGCCTAAATGTTGCATATATTAAGATATTAATAGTAGATAGTTGGTAATTTTCTCACATTACTCCTCACCACATATGTACATCATGACCATCTAAGATTGCTATTAGTCCATAAGAGGTTAAGTAATACATTACTGCTACAGTCATACGTTATACGTGTATTATTAGTAGGTCACATAAAATATCATAGGCAAAAAAATTGAGTGAAAAAATGGTGTTTGCTAAAAGTCAAATATATTTCTCAAAAGATAAAATGAAGTTAAACCAAGGAAAAATGAAAGAAAGAAAAATTGAATTGGCCAGCACGGGGGTCGAACCCGCGACCTTCGCGTTATCAGCACGACGCTCTAACCAACTGAGCTAACCGGCCAGTGGATGCCAGACGGCGTAATCTTACATAGTTATACAGTAATTCGAACAATTGTATAACAATGATTTGACCGAATATTGTGAAAATCTGACAGTAAGTTTTGTTACTTCGACATATTTGCCTATATAGAAATAGATTTACTTCAGAAAGGATTCTATGTGAGAATTCTAAGCGCTACACAATACTACTAGTACTATATTACTAAGTACGCCACCTTACGAATTTAATACAAACTGCAGTTTGGGATAAAAAAATTGCCGATTTGAGTAATTTTCTACTGTTCAAAGTGCGATTCAGAATAGTCTTACCTGAAAGGAAAGGGCTTCTTTGTTGTAGGAGATAGTGGATTTGTATAGTTTACCCGTCATTCCTCACGTGGTAACAGGTTACTCAGAAAGCGTGGGCGAGCCACTTCCTTCTTTTCCCTTCTCGAAACCACCGCTAGTTACTTCCGGGTTTGTTTCTCTAGTGCGAGGGCTCACATTGTCGCATGTTGGGCAAGACACAACACTATCAATGGCGTCTACAAGTCACTCACGAGCTTACACAGACCTTCTAGGCTACCTGGTGATTTTCGCCGTGGCTATGGATGTGGCCACAGCAAGCATTCCGGCGAGTGAGTATCGATATCTACACAGAGATGTGTAACGTTACATGTTGAATTGTCCCTAAGTTTCCACCCGTTTTCGAAAGTAAATCGAATGTTTGAGACTCTAAGATATGATTTACATCTATTTCAGTCGTGCTGCCGTATTCCAGATCCAATATCAGTTTGGTAAATTCAAAAGCTCTCTCCTATCTCCTTATTTAACACTATACCGTGCTTGAAATTGAGTGTCGATATCGACACAGAGGTCACAGTGTAACGTTACCGTGTTGAATTGTCACAATTGTTTCCGCCGATTTCTTTCAAAGCAACGCAAATGTACACGGCGGTCAATTTCTAGGGTAAAGTTTCCAATTCTACGGAGGGGTATCAGGTTACCGGGGTTCCACGCGCGGGTTCCGTGGTGCCAGTCTCAACGGTAAACATTATTTTCATCAGTTATAAACAGTTTCACGGGGACTCTCTTGTTCAAATGTGATAAAATCCGCACTGCATATAGCTCAAATGTTGGTGTTTTTATTACAATGCTTAAATGTGCGTGAAATCACTCTCGACGCGTCGAATGCTTATTCTAGAACAATCGACGTCAATAACCAAACAACTGATTTAAACCGACCCCAAATCTCTCCGAAAATTCCATATTTTTGCATTTTAGAGAACAGTATAACAAAATTAAGATTTGAGTCGGACAGTTTTCTTCATTTCAAAGTTAAAGTGTTGGTAAGATAGAAAAATTCGCCCAAAAATGCACTTTTTCAACTTTCAAGACGGATAATTCCAGAACGCCGCCATCTTTAAAAAATCCGTCCGACACAGATCGAGATTTTTGTCTTACCTACAATTTAAAACGTTTTTGAGGTAAATTGAATTTGTTTTTCTTGCGGTTTAAATACCATGTTTGCACTCATGTCAGGTCGTGTGAGTAAGTACAGGGGGTAACTTATATCCCCGTAAACAACAATTACGATCTTCAAGATCACACACGATAACGGCAGTAGCTTCGTTAAATGTTACATATCCACCATAAAACAGGGCATAGATATACGGTACCGAAATTGGTTTATATTTGTGAAAAGGTGATTTTTTTACTGTTAGGCGGTACCGTGTAAAAACGGGCTTGAAGCCGCGGGTTTACTGTACATGACCGCGGGTAACCCCGGATCGAACGAACGTTCGGTTCGATTGACGTCATATCGAACATGATTCGATTCGAATGACGTCATATCGAACATGATTCTGTTCGATGAAAAGGCTGGAATATTTGGGCCCAAATTTGACCATCGTGGTACAATATTAATGTACATGTTTGACAGTCTAAGATATGATGGAAATCTTTGTTAGCCGTACCTCCGTAGACCTGAGACCGAATATCAGTTTGATGAATTAAAAACGGATCTCACTCTCCGATGTCCTTATTTAACATTATAGACCGTGCTTGAAACTTTCAGTTTGGTCGCCTGGTAGCACATTCACATGACCTCACATGACCTCACATACACTCATGATCTTGTGATCATGACTTAAGAGTACTACCATCGGCCTGATTTTATACTTGTAACGTATTCGATAGACACCATTATCTCATGCATGTGTTTTGTTTCAGCGTGCGGAAGAGAACTTGGAATGAAAAATAATGACATAAGAAACGACCAGATAACTGCTTCATCAACGTACCAGTTGGCTGGCCAGGACCCATGGAGCGCATTTTATGCAAGAATAGGGAATAGATACGCCTGGTATCCTTCTGTAGACAATAAGAATCAATGGCTTCAAGTCGACCTCAGGAAGCAGATGGTGATCACCGGAGTACAAACACAGGGGCACTATACGAGGGCATTTGGTTCCTATTATGTGGAAACATTCAAGCTGCAATTCAAAACTGATGAAACTTCTAGTAGCTGGCTGGACGCTTTTGATGGGAAGGTGAGTGTACACCAGTGTTCGTGCGTGTGTGCGCGTGTGTCTGTGTGTGTGTCTGTGGTGTGTGTGTGTGTGTGTGTGTGTGTGTGTGTGTGTGTGTGTGTGTGTGTGTGTGTGTGTGTGTGTGTGTGTGTGTATGTGTATGTGTGTGTGTATGGCAAAAAGAAGAACATGTCATGTAGTTTACATGCAGTCCACATTGCTAATTTCCCTAGTAGTGATCATGAAGGCGGGTATGTAAAAGTAATATCCAATCAAATATCAGGTGGGAGACTAAGCTAGACTAAGTTTTTTGTGGTCTCCCGACGTTTCCTTCTCAGTAACGTTTTTCGTTAAACGTTTTTCTTTCGTTATAGGAATTTGAAGGAAACAACGGTGCGAACAGAATAAAACACAACAACTTTACGACGCCCGTTGTCGCATCAGCCATCAGATTTCTACCACTCACGTGGCATGAAGGAATCGCTTTGAGAGTGGAGATTCTTGGATGCGACTTGTCAGGTACGGACAGTTGTACTTTATAGAGTTCTCTATCTACTAGATTAATTTTTGGAGGCACTATATAGCTTCGAATTCTATGTTCTTTATATATTATTTATGAACAACATTCACAAGTCATCAGAACTTCATTATATGGCTGTACATTTTTTGTTTAAATGTATTCCAGTTGCAGAGGTGAGGTATTGGTTTTCGCTTGTCTGTTCGTCTGTCCCTGTTGTGTATTTGTGTATGTTCAATTCCTAATGTACATGTACACAATATACCATAGTTCTGCTGTCTTTGTAGTTAGACTGGAAAATGTTGCAAAGCTGTACGGGTTAGGGCTAATACTAGGGTAATATTCCAACATGTAATCACAAGACGTGGTGACGGCACACGCACTCAAGTTTTTTCAACTTATGTTAATGCCGCCACCAACACAGGGGACAATACAATACTCATTTTCACCTGAGCGAAGTGAGGAAAGTCGTGTAAAGTGCCTTTCCCAAGGGCACAAGGGTAAAGACAGTCATCTCTGATCCCGTCTTTTCTTATCTTAGACATTACCTGCAGAGAACCCCCTACAATCACCAACACTTTGATCACGACGAGCAGCTCTAGTGATTCATTCGGAGCATGGAGAAAATACGAATGTGCTGCTGGCTTTACTTCACCCGCCCCAGACTACGATTTGATCTGTGGTATTAACGGTGCCTGGTACTGGACCAATGGAGCACCTGACTGTACAAGTAAGTGAAGTAAATAATAATAAAAAATAGTGTATTTCAATATTAACATTTCAATTTTTCAACTTATATTAAAGCCACCACCAACACAGGGGACAATACAATACTCATTTTCACCTGAGCGAAGTGAGGAAAGTCGTGTAAAGTGTCGTCACCACGTCTTGTGATTACTTGTTGGAATATAAAAAAAATATTTCAATTTTCCGGTTCAACCTCACGTGGCATACATGTAGTATTACTGTATTAAGAATTTCATTGTCAAATTTAATATTAACTATAGATATTTTCTATCATGATTGTACGTACTTCTATCCCTTTTAGAAGATATTATGGTGTACAGGCCGAGTCATTTGTATATCCAGCTCGTATATCTGCTCTATATCTGCTTCTCCTATGCTTACCTTATGAAGGATTATTTACTTTCGTTCTCTTATTGTTTTGTTCTGTTACTTTGTAGGAATCCCGACTACAAGATCTACCCAACTACCAATAAGTACGGTGCCTTTGGTAAAGATCACTACAGAGTCGACGGCTGGCATAGCAGCAGGTATGGACGTATACGTTAACATGTCAACTGATTCTATAGAAGTCTATAATCATATATCTACAATATAATGATTGTTGTAACATACTAATGTACCAAAGAAAAGAATAGGAACCTGGTATTAACTCCAGTAGTTTGCTAATGTACAGTCTGATTCTCCTGTTTACTCTATCTCAATCTCTCTCTCTCTCTGCTTGTGTTTCTTCTATTTTCACTATAACTAATTTGAAATGATGAGTTGGTGAAACTGTTCCGTTCCTCTGGGATGTTAAGATTCAGAACAAATGCTGCTTTGTGTTTCTAATCATGTCATTTTCCTGACCAGGTTTATCCAGCAATATAATTCCCATTGCTGCAGGCGTCGGTGGGGGTCTGGTCCTTCTGGTGGTCATCATCATAATAGTCGTTGTGTGTAGGTAAGGAGTGCATGTACTCGGTCTACTCTAAGTTTTCCTGACTTTTCCTTCATGTAATTAACACATTTGCCTTGGTTTGGCGCACAGGCCATTGTGTTATCAGGCAGTTACTAGTAGTTTAAACTGGCTATATCTAGCCTAGCCTCCGTAGCAGGCTTATAGAATTGGGGGCTTGGTGGTCTTCGGCTGTTTTCTGATAAGCCCAGTTCTAAAAACGGGGGTAATTCAACCAGGCCGGCTATGTTGGCTATATGCAATCAGAAAATAGCACATAAAAGAGCCCGAAGACCCCCAAAACCCCCAGTTTTTGGCATGCTATGCTGTATCTAGCCTGTGTTACATAATCTCTCGCTGTCAAGCACTTAAAAGAGCCTGGCTAGTAGAAGGGTTTGCTAGAAGTGTGGTCAAACTAATTTGTTTCTGTCACTCAGAAGGAAACGCCAAGGCAGATCGGATACCGTGAAGTTAGAGGACCTGTCGGGCCCTCGAGCTCCCACGTCAACTGGCGCGGAGGAACGTCCAGAGGAAGTCAGCATGGTGCGCAACGACTTGTACGAGTGGGAAGACGGCACAGGGTAGGTGTGCTACCACAAAATACATATACTTTTCGGTCATGCTTTAAGTAAATTTCCCCACTTCAGATACTTGACAAGTAAGGAGAAATTTATGTTCCTGTTAGCCTTTGATAAACCAAATCTAACTTCTCATACAGCCTCATACAATTACTAAACCGCATTTGCATTAGTAATGTGCATATGTATATGTACTTGTATATGTATATGATTGTAATCTTGTAACCTGTGCTTAGCCCAGTGGGGCAAAAATGTACAATAAAGGTCTTCATTCATTGTCTACAATACAGCTATGCAATCATAAATGGGATTTTGCTAAATTTGTGCAAGATTAAAAACAACACTTGGAATTATTACATTACATAAATGTTTGTCTATGAAAAATCACAGCTGAAATGGGTTCTTCTTACTGTAGATCCACAGGAAGTCGCCAGGGGGAGCACCCAGAGGAAGTCGGCTTTGTGCGCAACGACGTGTACGAGTCGGTCAACAGGACGGGGTAGGTAGTGTCTCTAGATCTGCTATATATGATATATACTGTGTGGACAGTTACATATTACTTATACGTACGGTACCATGATAGTAAATATAAATAGTAAACCAGTAAAGATATCGGAAGCAGCACTGACTACCATTTCTTTTTAAGGTTAGTGCAAGGTTTAAAAATAATCATTTGTTATTGGTGTTGAGTTCCAAGGTGATGATTTAGGATATCTTTTTCTTTTTATCGGGTATCTGGTGTTATTGTCGCTGGCTGTACACTTGCCACTTTCTTGTCTTGTCAGTTCTAGCCTTGATAGCGGAGCATAGCTACGTTAGTAAATTGATGGACTTTTGTCTACAGGGACGAGTCATCGAACGTCACGCTCCTACCGGCCCACGAGGGAACTGCAGCTCTTTATACAGCTGTCAATAAGAATCGTCAGGGTGCTGACGACACGGGCATGGTGGAAAACATCATTTACGAAACACGTAACTGAGATCATAGTTTAATAACTGAAGTCTTTTAACCCTGCTATATATGCTGTGACGCTTGCACTGCTATGTGGCCCAAGGGGCAGAGAAAAGGAGATAGGCGCTGCCATATACACCATATATTGTGGAAATGACTTGCGGCATTGTTTACTTGGCTAGTGGATGATAATAACGTGAATGGTTTTGTGTATAATTTTACTGTGAAAGAAATATGCACCACAATAGCTAATATAAATTTTGAAAATTATCATTTCAGTGGAAAAGATTTGGATTAAGTTAGTTTGGACTAATTACTATGTCAGTGAAATCTTTTTGTAGTTTGTCAGTGAAAATTATGAAGTATTTTGTATGTATATTATTATGACATTTTGTGCAATTTTACATTGATATCAACATGGACTATATTTTGGAAGCTAGTCAATACGACTTTGATATAAACCAAGCTTTACAGTATGTGGTCTGTGTGTAATGCATTCAACACACGTGAGTCACCGCGTCAACACTATCAACAAACAGGACGGGGGGCGGTATCCACTTCCTATCACCTTTGACCTTTTGCTTACGTCACGTGCACTTCCGGCAGGTGACGTGTTTTCAGGGTCATTAGGCCCTCAGCCAGTACTAGTGTCTTGACCAGAGAACTTGCCGAAACCTTAAGCTTGGTGCATCTTTAATACTCGTTGCGTTCAATATAATATAGAACTAGAGAAGTAACATTTGCAAAGCAAACGCATAATGTATATACCTTCGGACATGGTCTGCCCTGTTAATTTTTACTCAAACACATTCACATACATGTACTTCGAGTATATGGTGACAGGAGTAGAGCAGACCATGAAATTGCAACATTATGTAACCTAACACTAGTCACCATGGTGACAGACGTCAACAAATCATGTCATTGGCCAGGTCAGAGGTTAGTGTTTGGAACAGAAGAGGAGGAGGAAGAAACTGAGTAAAAACAAATGACGGTTAAGTTTAATCCTTCGTCTCAAATACCAACCAACTAATATGCCTTACGGTAAATAAACACTCGCACACGTTCCTCGAGTCCCTGCAGGAAGCCCCTCAGACGGCAAACCGCACCAGCTGTACCCTAACGATAAACACGAAACTCAAAACCTTCTCCCGTGTCTGAAGAGTGTTGATATAACCCTAAACACGGTAAGTGGTGAGGTGCGGAGGTCAAGGCGGATATGGGGTGATTAGTTAGCAATCTCCAAGCAGATCCCTTTCGGTGGCAAAAAGACAGTATCAAATTGGCCAGGCAGTATCCATTAGTCAGAGAAGGTTGGCAGCCACCGACGGGTGGTGGCATGGAGGTAGCGACAAAAAAACGGCAATATATAAAAGGTAACGAATATTCCCCCACAACCCCATAACAAAGAGTAATTAGTTAGGATCTAGTGCCGAAATGGTAGCCTCTTATAAAGCTCATCAGGAATATATCGCAAGAGAACAGGCAACAACATCACCACTCAACACCTCTAACATTAGTGACCGTGTAGTAGTGTACGAATCAACAGAGAGGCTTTACAGAAATGTCAGGTGAGTAAGTTACTAACACAAGCGGCTAGCTGGAGAGGTCCCGTTTAGGTAGCCTACCAGGCTTCGGGAGGCGGTTGGAAAAAGTAGAAATCGTCCAAACATAAGATAGCATGCCGATGGTCCGCTAGAGAGTACACTTTGCCGCACCCAAACTGTACTCTCTAGCGGACCAACTCCCGTAGCATATTATCTCTCTATTTAGCCAATTTCTACTCTTTCCAGCCGCCTCCCGAGGCCTGGTAGAGGCTACCTAAATGGAACCTCTCCAGCCGATTGTGTTACTCATTTGACATTTCTGTAAAGTCTCTCTGTTGATGTGTACATTGCTACACGGTCACTAATGTTAGAGGTGTTGAGTGGTTATTCTGTTGCCTGTACCCTTGAGATATATTCCTCAGCTTTAAAAGCCCTAAAGTTGGCAAAAGGGATTTCTGACCGGAAAGATTGGCCCACGAACGTTGGTATTTTTCCTCCTTAATTTTAGTACAGTATTACCGTAAGAAATCGGACCAATTGGTTCTCTAAAAGTAGTATTTTGCATTTGCTGTTTTCAGCAGTAATATACATACTGCACAAATAATACCAATTTATTTGTAGTACAGAACGAATGTTTCACAAGTATTGCCAGTAGGTTAAGTTTTTTGAGGGGGATGCAGTTCATTGACCCCTGGAATGAACAATTTGCAGTTCTGTAATTCCGTATCGTAAAAGAAGGTGTCATAAGTATTTTGGTAGCTTCAGGCTTTATTAGGGGGTGCCACCATTCAATATAGACTGAACAATATAGAGTTCTACGTATCGTATTTCACTTAGAAAACTTAGCAATTATCACTTTTTATGATACATTTCGAATTCGTTGATCAAGATAACAAAAAAAGAAACACCCAGCTTATTAAGATTGTCACTGGACAATATCAATAAATAATCCAATCGTTTTCCACAGAAATATACTAGACTGGACAGTGTATTTCTATGTCTCGGCCAATGTTATGACTGTATCGAATGCCGTACTTGTAGGAGCCGGTGTGTTTATCCATAAACAGTTAAGTCATTCTCTACCCACCATCAAGCCAGATACATGATCCTGCTAAAATACATGACTCCGACAATACTACTTGGGAGTTTCCAATATACCTGAGACACAGGGTAGGAGGGGTTTGGTCGTGATGTGGGAGACTAACCTAACCCAACTCCAATTGTAAGTCTAACCCTAACCCTGAACAATGATCCCAACTCTAACCTAATCTCCAAGCAGATCATATGGTGGCAAGGCAGTATCCATTGGCCAGAGGAGTGCCCATTAGTCTGTGGCTGGCAAAACTCCTCTGGCTAACGGATACTGCCTTGCCACCGAAAGAGATCTGCTTGGAGATTACTGAAACCCAAATCCTAACCCAAACCCTAATACCAAACCTAACCCAGCACGTCGGCAGAACGTACTGCGCCTGCGCAGAGCCCTGTATTTTCACGATTTTCGGTGGATTTTTGGTCAACGTTGCATCAGAATTTTGCCTGTTGCAGAGGATATTCTTTCCGACATAACATTTGGAAACTACTGTCGAAATACTAACCTTATATGAGCGAATACGACCTTATATGAGACATTCTGCCGAAATGCTATGTACAATACATTACGGGTTTAACGCAGGTGCAGTGCGTTCTGCCGACGTGCTACCTAACCCTAACCCCAGCCCTACACACCTGACCCCTCACGTATGTGGCAGCTCCAAAGGTTTGGCCCAACACCACACCAGCTGCAGGATGTGCCGAAAAACACAGGGTCATGTGATTCCATGTTGATCTTCCGTTCTGGCACTTATAAAGAAAGGACTGATTCCGCTCAATCATTTCCTGAGGACAACCGGCGAAATCACTCTCAAGTTTGAAAACAGAACTTGGAGGAACTTTACCGCTCAGTCGGCATTTTGTAAGCGAGATGGAACTACAGATCGTGTTTGGAGTACTGATGGCGTCTATAGTGGCGACCTTAACGGTTCCGTCTACAGCGGAAGAGGGTGAGTTTTTTTAAAAAGACGTATATTTTACACTGTCAGAAGTTTGAATAGCATCCTGAACTTGAAGTTCACACAAACATTTCGTTCATTTAAAGACATTGACTCACTCAAGACAAAATGTTCTGAATGGTCTCTTCTGAATGCATTGTAGTAAGACCAGTCAAGTGTAGTACAAATGTACTCGACTTCTATTTGTTTTGATATGACTGATTATTTGGCTTACCTGTGTAGTGATACGAAACGTCTGCTATATGAAGAAGCAGTTGCACTGGTACTCGTAATTTTAGAAGTGCTTACAAAAATAGTTTGATAGCTTAACACAACGGCGTCACTATAGCTATTTTCACCTTTTTTAAATACTCGTATATTCTTCTATCACGGAAATATACAACGTTGCAATCAAAGGATAAGTTTTCAAGTGTTTATCTATTTCTTTATTTCGGTCTGTCGAACGCTTGGCAAATGAAATCTGAAACTAACATACGTGTACATAAAGACTAAATACATAATCATTACAAAGGTATTCCAGACCTGTATTTTGTATTCCTGTACAGTCTGACTCAAGCACAGAGTGAACTACTTTGTTACGAGTGTTTAACAGTAAGAAATCTTCCTACACAATCTTCAGTCATCAATCTTAAAAAAAAAGCCAAACACAACAAAACTAGTACCACGTACGTATGTAGAATGTAGTACAACTTTGCACATAGTCTATCATATCATTGTATCTTCTTTTTTCATACATGTTGTTTGTACATGTATTTTCCATTAGCCCTTGCGCATGTATTTGTTGCAATAAGCTTTCTATAGTTTCAGACTGCCGTGTAGAGTTGGGGATGAGATCTGGCGCGATCCACGACCAGCAGATCTCGGCCTCGTCCTTCTACGGGCCCGGGTGGGAGGCCCGACACGCGCGGGTAGACGGTCGGTACGCCTGGCGCCCGGCACAGCGGCACAGGCACGAGTGGCTCGCCGTGGACCTGGGGAGAACCGTCAACATCACAGGTTATACTTTATAATCTTTGGAAATTTTTAATTGCAGGAGTTTTTTAAAGCTTTCTAGTGATGATGCCCCAACTGTGCTTGATGGTAAAGATTGCTTCATTCATTGCTTCATTCATTTATTCATTTATTCATTGCTTCATTCATTCATTCATTCATTCATTCATTCATTCATTCATTCATTCATTCATTCATTCATTCATTCATTCATTCATTCATTCATTCATTCATTCATTCATTCATTCATTCATTCATTCATTCATTCATTCATTCATTCATTCATTCATTCATTCACTAACTCACTCGTTCGTTCATTCATTCATTCATTCATTGACTCATTCATTCATTCTCACTCACTCACTCACTCACTCACTCATTCACTCATTCATTCATTCATTCATTCATTCATTCATTCATTCATTCATTCATTCATTCATTCATTCCTTTAGGTGTGATGACACAGGGACACCTCTCCTACGAGAGTCCCAGAAGACCGTATTATCTGAAACGTTTTGAGTTGGACTTCAAGACGCAATATGACGAGGAATGGACTAGCTACAAGATAGATGGCAAAGTAAGAACACATTACACACTATAGTAATATTACATTTCCTAGCAGATGCATGTTTCGGCTCAGTATTGTTGGCATGGTGTGCTTTTCTATGGAAGCATACATGTATACTATATAGAGTAAAGTGAAAAATGAGGACCACTAGAAGGAAGTACTAGTAAACACCTACCCTATATCTGCTTGGTTTGTACATTCGTACTAGCCTCGGTATAAGCCTCGTGGGGTAACACACCACGTGTTCAGTCAATCTGTAGTGCCTCGCGTAACCTCAAGAGGATGGTAGCGAGGTTACATTTTGCACCTCATAAATGTCTACGGTGTTATTTAGATCATCCAAACCATCTAATGTCATGCCAAGACTGAATTGAACTTATCATGTTTACTGAAGGAAAACATATTGTTTTTGCTACGTTTCTTCTTCTTCCTTTCCAAACAGTGACCTCTGACCTGGTTAACCAGACTGTCTCTCACCATGGTAACTGGTGTCGGGTTACATCTCACTGTCACCATATATAAAATGTGTTTGAGTAAGTATTAACAGAGCAGACCACATGCGAAGGCAAACATTATGCATTTGCTTTGCAAAAGTTACCCTTCTAGTGTATTGTATATTTTCTTGAATGAAATGCCTGAATTGTCCTTCTTTCCAAGGACATCACATTCGATGGAAATAACGACACAGGGACAGTGGTGACCAACATCCTTCCAGAGCCTGTTTTAGCCACTGCACTTCGGTTTCATCCCGCTGGGTGGCACAGTAACGGGTTTGCGCTTCGGGTGGAGATACTTGGATGCAGTTTATCAGGTATGTGTCGTTTAATGATGAATGAATGTCAGAATGAAGACCTTTATTGTACAAACATACCCACTGGGTTAGGTACAAAGGTTAACTTGAATACACAAATATATATATAACAAGATCAACCTAGTACTAGCACTACAGTCTGTTACATAATTTCGACTTCTCTTCGCTTCTCTGTGATGTTGAAAAGATAAGAACATACAAGTTTAAGGATCGGGGGTTTGTCTAAGTTCATTAAAAATGTGAATTCATCTGTATTACTGAGGTGTGTAAAGTGGAGAAACATCGATGTTATCCGTCTATAAAGTTCAATTCTCGCACTGTTACACAAACTACATTCTACTACAAAATGATGATGATGATGAAAACCTTTATTGTACATTCATGCCACGACGGGCTAGGTACAGGTCAAGGCCTAACAGACACATAACAAATGTATATAGAAAAATGGAGATTAAAGATACACTACTTGACTTAGACATACATACATAAGGAATATACAAGGGTACTATACAAGGCTAATACAAAGTGTTCTAGCTACTGAGCTAGTAAATTAGAGTGTGGTCAACTTCTCGCTTTTTTGTACAATGGAAAATGTGGGAACAGATCATGTTTGTGATACAGGGTTTGTCTAGTCACAACTTAGATTGGGACTCAACATACCTGAGATTGGGACTCAAGTTTGTATGTATGTGTGCATGTGTGTATGTATGTACGTTATGCAGTTATTACCTCAGTCCATAATAGCATACATACATGAATTGTCCCCTGCTCCATTCATAGTAATGGTGCATACCTTGCCACAGTGCTTACATGTAGTTCCTAGTCAGCAATACATGTCAACAAACTACAATGTTAAATTGTAAATATTTATAATCCTTCCACCATATCAGTCTCCAAACAGATGTTTCAGTGGCCTCAAAATACAGTATCACATTGGCCAGGCAGTATCCATTAGCCAGACTGCCACCCACGTCAGCAAGAAAGTTCATCTGAGTTGGTAAATTACATAATGAAAATTTTAAACTGTTCTCCAACTCATAAATTTCACTCAACGGAATTTTCGACTGAATCACTCAGTCTTCCTCAGCTATCTGACCCAAATGCTGTGGACACGTGATTTTCCCACGTGTTACGTCAGCAAAGGGTCAAAGGTTGTCTGAAGTCGATATCGCCCCCCGTCCCGGTTGAGGAAAGGTTGAAGTGCCCTGATGCCCCCCACATGTACACAGTCTGACCAATGCACACTGCCTGGCCAATTTGATACTGTATTTTGCTGCCACCGAAACATCTGCTTGGAGATTACACCATATCGAGATCTATGTTTATAGTTAAAACTTTTACCAACACAAAAAGTTCACAAAAAGTTCTTTGAAGCCACGTGACAAGCATCACTGGGTCAGTTGACTGAGGAAGACCAGAGTGACTGATCGAAAGCTCTAGGTGAGAGAACTTCTTTGTGTTGGACCAAACGTTTTAACTCTAAACATGGAACTACCAACACAGATGAGCTTTCATGATAGTACACCATATCTACTTGCTAGAAGTGCCGTCGTCAGAGCCGCCCAGTCCTATAGCCACAACAACTGTACCGCCATTTCCCGCCAAAACAACTCACGCTGCTGGTAGGGCGGAAGGAACAACTGTACATGACTCATCAGCATGGACCATGGGCTTCCAGGGTGAGAGGGAGTAGCCTCGACCACGCTTCGGGAAGGCGACTGGAAAGAGTAGAACTTGACCGAATAGGGGGAAAACATGTCAGGGGAGTTGGTCCGCTAGAAAAGTACAGTTCGGGAGCGGCAAACGGACCAACTCCCCCGGCATGTTATCTCTCTATTTGGTCAATTTCTACACTTTCCAGCCACCTCCCGAAGTCTGGTAGAGGTTGGAGAGGGAGAGGTATAAGGTTGGGCTTGAGGCAGAACTTCCTTGGGCCGTATGTTGGCCCTGGCCCCAAAGAACTTGCATACTGGCAACAATATGAATTGTAGGCTGGCTATACAAATATATGATGTCACTACATTCATACAAATTAAGTCATTACTCAAACGCACTAACTTCGAATTCGGTGGGGAAATGGTTACAGACTGGCCAATTTGATACTGTCTTACCCCCACCAAAAGATCTGCTTGGAGCCAAAACGCACCAGTTTGGAGCGTAATGGTCCTAACTGCACATCAATATACTGTCGCTAGTTGGCGTTCCATAACCATCATTTTGAAGCCTATTTACAGCGCATTTTCCTTCAAGGCCCTTCAACACGTCATTCCAGACTAATTGATCGTAAGCTAGGCGCCAGACCATGTGTCAGCGAAAGGTCCAGTCTAATCGATTCTCTGTATAAAAGAAGACAGCCATTTAACGCTTCAGCTCCTGCGAAACAATCAGCAATACTAATCTCCAAACAGATCCAGGTAGTAGGGTGGCAAAAGACAGTATCCATAGGTCAGAGAGGGCCCAGTACAGCATCTACCAGGCTTCGGGAGACGGCTGGAAAGCCGAGAAATTGCCTAAATGTAGAGAGATAAGATGCCGAGGGAGTTGGTCCGCTAGAGAGTACATTTTGCCGCAAAATATACTCTCTAGCGGACCAACTCTCTCTCGGCATATTTGGCCAATTTCTAGTCTTTCCATCCCGCCTGGTAGAGTCCAGGTCCGATACCCCCTCTCTGGCCAATGGATACTGTCTTTTGCCACCCTTGGATCTGCTTGGAGATTACAACTGACGAACTTTATTGCACATTTTTGCCACACTGGGCTAAATACAGGTCACAACAAAACACGATTAACAGATACATACAAAATAAAACTAGCTATCATTAGATAAACTTGTGCTCGCTTTTCAGTTATAGTAGAGATAAAAGAACAGATATGTTTTTCGATGGAAGGTTTGTCTAGTTGCATTAGGAATATGAACTTTTCTACAGTGCTCAAGTGTATGAAGTAAGGACATAGGTTTTGCACAAACCTATACAGATCATTTCTCCCTTTACTATACATCTTATCTACATTCAATAACAAAGTGACATTCGTCCTCTACTCTATTCAAATTACAACATTACCCCTGTTTCTGTTTGTTGGATAGGGGCGACAGAAGAAGACGATGTCATCTCAATCGTGGCTGGAGCTATTCTGGGATGTGTGGCCCTGCTGATCGCTATTCTTGTCTGCGTGCTTCTGTATAGAAGGTAGCCACTACTTCATTCTTTAGTTGGGTTACATCATGTTGTAATTTTATAGGAAGAGGGATTTAGACTCCTGTCTGACCATATATAAGAATGTGTTTGAGTAAGAATGAACAGAGCAGACCATATGGGAAGGTAAACATTATGCATGCTATATTTGCTTTGAAAATGTTACCTTTCTACATGTAGTTTGATGAATATGCCTTCTACCCTGTGTACGTAGGAGGAAAATGATTGGTTCACCAGAGACAGAGGCGGACCCCCGGTACGACAACGTCATCAGTTACAGCCGAGTTCTGGAAGAGTCGACTTTGGACCAACCAGAACAGGACAATCTGGTGTGGAACGACTTCTACGAGTCCGCTGACCAGAGGGGGTGAGTTTTACGTTTTGTACATCACTAACTATACATGTAAGGTATCGTGCCACTTTTTGGCGATATTTTAACGTTTTTGGTGTGATAATGAATGAATGAACTTTATTGATCGACAATCGTACATAGTACAATGTGTGGCAGTAATACAACAATACTACAAACTACACTATCTTATTACATTTCTTACTACAAACTACTGTCTATACAGTATATGGGTTACAATGTTCATGTATTGATGATATGGTCTCGCTTATGAAAGAAAGTGTACAGAAATTGGCCTACATAAGCAGATATGGTAGTTGGACACGACAATAATGCAGCTAGCTGTCACTCTACACTCATAGATATCTTTGCGTTTTACAAGTACTAGTGATAGTGTTGGGGTCTATGTCATTCTGGTAGCATGCATGTGTAAGGGATAATATTGATGAGTTGCCAAGACTAAATATGCCAGATATTGGAGAAACAAGCTTGTGTCAATTATTGGAGATGGCCAAGAACCATCCATGTCCCTTCAGCTATATTTGTCAGATGGTCGATCACACGTGTTCTTGCCAAAAACGAATATAAAAAAAAAGCTTAACATTTGTCACAATTCGTACTTTTGTGCGTGTTACAGTGGCGGGGCGGAGTACGCCTGTGTCGATATACAGAACATCGCAGAGGACAACGAGAAGACGGAGGTGGAAAATGATCTTTATCAGTCTCACGGAATATAAAAACATTTCGTCCAAAGTCCAAATATCCTCGAAACTACTAGCCTGAGTGTCAGCCTTGGTAGCTTTCGTCCGCTGCGGAAAAGTCCTGTATCCTATACTTTACCAACCTGATGAAACTACTTTCGGATGTATATTGCTTGCTTACATGACGCTTGTTATCAACAGTGATTGACAGCGCATGGTGTTAATTGAACTCAGACTGCTCCACGTGTGCCGGCAGTCCTGAAGAGAACCACACTAATTAAACATCATCAGTCTAAGCCTACAGAGTCATCATCGCTCTATCGCGTTATCAAAGTAAAATGAGGGTGGCGCGAAGTAATTACATATACGAGCGAGATGGGATCTTGATCTATGAACAAAATTGCGATTTCACAACTTGTCATTTGTTTATCTTTCAACAAAGTTGTTATTTCATCAATCACACTGCAGTGACATAACTTTGAATCTGTCTCTGTTTCATGCTTGTTTGTGATATCTGTACGTTCACAAGTAAATAAAATGAGGGTGGAATGAAGTAATTACGAGCAATATTGGATCTTGATCTATGAACAAAATCCACCTTCCTTTGAGATTTCACAACTTGTCATTTGTTTATCTTTTAACAAAGTTGTTATTACATCAATCACTTTCCAGTGACATATCTTTGAATCTGTCTGTGTCTCATGTTTGTTTGTAATATGTGCATGTTCACAAGTAAAATGACGGTGGAATGAAGTAATTACGAGCAATATGGGATCTTGATCTATGAACAAAATTCATTTTCCCTTGCGATTTCACACCTTGTCATCTGTTTATCTTTCAATAAAGTTGTTATTTCATTAATCACTCTTCAGTGACATATCTTTGAAATTATCTCTGTTTCATGTTTGTTTGTGATATCTGCACGTTCACAAGTAAATAAAATGAGGGTGGAATGAAGTAATTACGAGCGATATGGGATCTTGATCTATGAACAAAATCCACCTTCCCTTGAGATTTCCCAACTTGTCATTTGTTTATCTTTCAACAAAGTTGTAATTTCATCAATCACACTGCAGTGACGTATCTTTGAATCGGTCTCTGTTTCATGTTTGTTTGTAATATCTGCACGTTCACAAGTAAAGTGAGGATGGAATGAAGTAAGTACGAGCAATATGGGATCTTGATCTATAAACAAAATTGAACTTCCCTTGCGATTTCACACCTTGTCATCTGTTTATCTTTCAATAAAGTTGTTATTTCATTAATCACTTTTCAGTGACATATCTTTGAATCTGTCTCTGTTTGTTTGTAATATTTGCACTTTCGCAAGTAAAGTGAGGATGGAAGGAAGTAACTACGAGCAATATGGGATCTTGATCTATGAACAAAATCCACCTTCCCTTGAGATTTCACAAATTGTCATTTATTTATCTTTCAACAAAGTTGTTATTACATCAATCATACTGCAGTGACATATCTTTTAATTTGTCGCTGTTTGTTTGTAATATTTGTACGTTTCCTTATTTTTATTGGAGTTTATCTACATCCCACCCTTGGTACTCTCCAAGCAGAGGTTTGGGTTATTTTGGCGTGTTTTTAGTTTTTTTTTATCGGGGTTTCTTTTTCACCCAACGCAACCTCTGCCGGCAGTCAAATGCGCTATAAACCTACTCACTTCAACACATTACGGTCGTTCTTCAAGTAAGTGCGAACTGCGGTCAAAAAAAGAGAAACCCTGATAAAAAAAAGCCTAAAAACACACCTAAGTTAAGCCAAAACCAAACCTCTGCTTGGAGAGTAACCCTTGGCCACCGGCCGATTCTTGACATTCATGGACATCCCCTCGTCATAGGTCAATGTCCGAAGTAAAATATAATAGACACGTAATAAACCAATCGATTCATGTCTTCATTATTTTGTCCTCAGGCTGATCAGAAACAACAATAATCCCTTCATCAATCATCCCTGTAGTTAATTAACTCTTCAGTCGGTTGGATTCATAACCGATGAATGAAATTATTTTTCTGTGGGTGGCCCATAGGATATGCATCATCCGATATTGAAATATGCTATACCGAGGCAAAAACGCTCATTTCCGCTCCTCTACGTGACTCAGACAGGAAAGCAGTTGAGTTACACCCTTCTCTAGTCTCATATGTGGTCACTTTCATAATAAATTCCCTAAAGTATGGTTGTATAAGATATAGGGCCTGGCAACATTCGTCGTGTGATCTTCACATGATCCATGAGATCATTCTTGGGTCGTCTTACGAACTCAACAGAAAATACTGTCTTAGATACTTATCGACATCTTTTTATTAATCGTACACACAAACAAAATACAGGGCGTAGTGGTGGCGCACTAAAGTTAGGAACTTATTTTGACATCACCACTAAATAAATACATACAATAAAGAAAATTAACATACACTTATACAATATAAAATATGTACAAAATTAAATTAAGCGCAAGTCCGGTTCACCACGCAATGATTGACCTTTAAAAACGACCTTTAAAAACGTTCTGTTGAAGTAATGAAGTTCTGGGTAAGTGATAATATGTTGGAGTTGACAACTGATGAGTACATAGGACTACCACGGAGTAGGAGTACGACATTTTGTTCTGTCGTAGCCTGATAAAAATTCGCACAAATCTCCACGACGGTTGTGACCAAGCCATAACAAATGCTACTCTCCGATATAGAAAATGGAAAAGTTATTAATACAAACCACACCAGGCTACACATAATGATTTCTTTAAATTAAGGAGACATTGATGAGGCCATACATATCAGGGCACTCCAGCCATCACTTAACAGAGACGGTGGACGATATAAACTCACTGGCACGTTTGATGACGTCATTCATTATCCTGATGAAGGCGACAGTGGGGGTTGGAAACTTGATCTCTGTGTAATTCCTGTGTTGAAGTAAAGGTCAACATTTTACTACTTTTACACAGTTGGTTTGGGGTTAGGACCAGGCCACCCAGCTTTTGTTATGAAGGCGACAGTGGTCGTTGAAAATTTGATCTCTGTGTAATCCTTGTGTTGTAATAAAGTTGAAAATTTTACTATGATTTCTTTAAACTTTTACGCAATTGGTTTGGCAGTTGGTTTGGGGTTAGGACCAGGCCACCCAGCTGGCGTTACTTGCCGAATATATCCCCCACTCTAGCCAGGGTCTTCATAACAGGAACTCGCACGAACCTTATCAACCCTTCCCAGCCGGCAGGGCGAAGTGAGGTTTACCGGAACCATGCCGTTTCCTTTTGTGCAACGTGAGTGAAAATAGCCCCTGGCGCGTGGTTAGCTAAGAGGCTATGTATGAGGTCTGTGAAAGGATCTGTAAATCTCACACGAAACTTAAATTCTCTCCCTTTCAAATCATTACTTTAATAACTTTTTCATTCCATTCTTATTGGGAGCTGGGGTGATAAACTTCTTTGGGTGTATAGGTTTTCTATATGAAAAAGTTTGCATGTTACACAATGCGTTCACACAGGACTTGGCACCCACACAACACCCTCATAACTCAGTACCACTGTGGAATATACATCTGCCAACATGTCTGGACTATTCATTGTTTGAAACGTTCTTCAATATATCCCTGGCGCCACCCATAACACAGTCTATCGCTGGAATTAGTTCCTTGATTAGCCCAGACCATGACTAAGAACGTCATTGGTTTTTGGACGGCCACTGTTGTCTCCCTCCTGATGATATTGGACAAGGGTGGCTTTGCAGTCGAAAATGGTAAGTCGTTTTATTGAATTTCGCTTGCGAGAAAGCTTTGAAATCCTTGCTATCTACCGTCTGTATATTACACAGCACTATTTCACCAGTTTCTCTGTTGCTCCTGAGAGTGCCTTTGAGCAGATTTTGGCTGCCTCAAAATTGGAACAGCCGATGGCAGTTTGAAGAAGTGACGATGATGTCATCTTATCTTAAACGCTTGAAGGCTGAGGAGTAGACGATGGATTTTATTTGAGCAGACTAATTAGATTATTTGCCACACAACCTCCAAAGGGTTTAACGTCTCTTGACGTTGGTATATCAATATAGTTGTCACGCGTTGCATATTCCGCCAATGTGATTGCATCGCAGCAATTCTTAAAACATTTTGTTGAAAGTAGGCAATAGAAAGCATTAACGCAAGGTTACAGTTATTTTCCATGCAGACCATATATCTGCAATCTTATTTGACTAGCTTGGGCTATGCTTGACATTCTGTGAAAGTAGTGAAGGCCATTGAACCGCACGGATACATGCGAGATAGGTACAACATATCCAGGGGGGGGGGGCAAAGAAGTCATACGAATTTTAAATTCACGGAATTCATACGAATGTTACGAAATGCACACTATTTATTACAAGGAAACATACTAATTTTACGAAATGTATACTATACTGGAGTAACTTTATGAAGTGTACCTCCCCGGAGACATGATGATGATGATGATGCATACTATCCATTACTCGGAAACATACGATCCTTACTGATTTGGTGATACAGGTGCAGGTACCCAAATTAGTAAGGATCGTACATTTCCGAGTAATGGATCGTGTGTATTTTGTAAAATTCGTATGTTTCCTTGTAATAAATCGTGTGTATTTTGTAAAATTCGTATGTTTCCTTGTAATAAATCGTGTGTATTTTGTAAAATTCGTATGTTTCCTTGTAATAAATCGTGTGTATTTTGTAAAATTCGTATGTTTCCTTGTAATAAATCGTGTGTATTTCGTAAAATTCGTATATGGATTCCGTAACATTCGTATGAATTTTTGGCACCCATTCATATGTTGTTCCTATATCTCATGTATCCAATGGCCTTCACTACTTTCACAGAATATAAAGTTCATGGCCAAAGCTAGTCAAATAAGATTGCAGATATATGGTCTGCGTAGAAAATAACTATAACCTTATGTTAATGCTTTATATTGCCTATTTTCAACAAAATGTTTTTGAAAATTGCTGCGATGAATCGCTTGGCACCCCTGATATCAGCAATACCAGTAGAAGTTTGGACTTAGTGCTGATCGCAGCGGTTTTTCCCAGATTGTTCCAACGCCCTGGGGATGCACTCGGGCGGGATCAGGGAGGGCCAAGTCAGGGCCTCCAGCAGTCGCGACCAGCTCTACGCCGCAAATAACGGTCGCCTAGGCAACAGCCACGCCTGGATCCCGGCCTTTAATAACAACACGGAGTGGCTGCAGATCGACCTGCTGATAAAGCGGAAGGTGTCAGGGGTTATCACTCAGGTCAGGAAAGGGTCGCTTCAATATATGGTATATTCATGTATAGGAGAAGCCTCTACCAGGCTTCAAATATTTCAAGACCCAGTACGCACAGTTATGAAAAGGTCTCCTATACTAGCCCCTACCAGGCTTCAAATATTTCAAGACCCAGTACGCACAGTTATGAAAAGCTCCTATACTAGCTTCTACCAGGCGTCGGGAGGCGGCTGGAAAGAGTAGAATCGGCCAAATAGAGAGACAAGCATG